CCTAAACCCTAAACCCTAAACCCTAAACCCTAAACCCTAAACCCTAAACCCTAAACCCTAAAACCTAAACCCTAAACCCTAAACCCTAAACCCTAAACCCTAAACCCTAAACCCTAAACCCTAAACCCTAAACCTTAAACCCTAACCCTAAACCCTAAACCCTAAACCCTAGACCCTAGACCCTAAACCCTAACCCTAAACCCTAAACCCTAAACCCTAAACCGTCAACCCTAAACCCTAAACCCTAAACCCTGTCCCGCTGCTTCCCAGGATTCCTTGAGCCTATCAAGGCCAAGTATGACGCGGCCCCTGGGAAGCAGCAACTGGCGGCTAGTTGGGTTCAGGGTGTAGGGTTGAGGGTTTAGGGTTTAGGGTTGTGGGTTTAGGGTTTAGGGCTTCTGGCATCTGTTTCTACGGTAAGTTTAAAGGGTTTACAAGGTCTTTTGGGGTTTATAGGGTTTATAGGGTTGATAGGGTTTATAGTATAGGGTTTATAGGGTTTATAGGGTTTATAGGGTTTAGATGATTTATAGGGTTTAGCGTCTCGGGTTTAGGGAAGTTACATGATCCCCTAACATGGTCCCTTACCTTCTTTCAAGGGTTTAGGGTTTAGGGTTCTGAAGTATGGGTGTTGGGTTTGACTTATCGGGTATGTAAGGGGTGTAAACGACATTGTCGGACCTGGCGACCCTTGAGCCCGGAACCCTATATAAACCCTAAAGGCCCTAAACCTCAGCTAAACCTAAGATTCAACAGAGTACCCAAGCTTACGAGGTTTCGTGGGCTGACATCATCCAGATGGCGTCGCGACCTCAAGTTTGCTTCTTCTTGCGAACCCTGTAGGGTTTAGGGTTTAGAGTTTAGGGCTTAGAGTTTGGGGCTTAGAGTTTAGGGCTTCGGGTTTGGGGTTTAGGTTCCGTTGAGCTTGTAGCTGTGCCGGAGTATGAGGATGCACTGGCAAGTATCAGCATGTTTCAGGGGGAATGTCAGACCGGTTTAGGATGTAGGGTTCAGGATTTAGGGTGTGGGGTGTAGGGCTCAAAACTTCACAGTTTTAGGTCTGTTTGGGTCGCTGATCGTACTTGCTGATACTTGCTGCAAGTGGGCCGGGAGACAGGGGGTCTTGGCTGGCATTGGATCAGGCAGGCGCAGCAAGAAACATGGCCCTAAACCCTAAACCCTGAACCCTTAACCCTCAACCCTAAACCCGAACCCCTAACCCCTAAACCCAAAACCCTAAACCCTAAACTCTAAGCCCTAAACCCTAAACCCTAAACCCTAAACCCCAAATCCCTTCCAGCCACCTGTAGGTCTGCTGTCGCCATTGAATGCGCTGGCGGCCCGAAGATCGACATGAAGTGAGCCGTAGCTTTTGCGTGTGCTCGTGTGTAAACCCTAAACCCTAAACCCTAAACCCTAAACCCTAAACCCTAAACCCTAAACCCTAAACCCTAAACCCTAAACCCTAAACCCCAAACCCTAAACCCTAAACCCTAAACCCGAAACCCTAAACCCTAAACCTTAAACCCCTAAACCCTATGGAAGGTGGACAGCAGACTTTGCGGGTCAGTGTTTCAGCGCAATCCTTGCGGGTATTCACAGAGGAGGGCATGTTTGTTCTTGTTTCTCAAGGCAGAAGGCTGCCATTTTCTTGGGGCCGTGGGGAGGGGGGGGAGGGGGGGTGTCCGTGAGACATTCGAGCCCTTCGCAACACAAAACGCAGCGATTGTTGATGAGTCGTGGGATGTTGCCGCGCACGGCACCCAGTGCCTCTGACCTAGCTCGAATGCATTGTCCGTGTAGGGAACGCATGTTCCATGTACGGGGAGTTGCATGCAATACATGGACACGGGCTTGTTCCACAGGCGACCCTTGGTGCTGCTACTCTCTATCAATCCAGCTTGCCGGTGAGGTACGGCCGTGTGGCGGTGGAGTCCAACTCGGATTGCGTCAAGTCGGCGTCGCGGGAGGCAGCTGCTTGTCACTGCTTGTCATGATAGTTCCTCCCCCCTGATATTCAACCCTCCCATAATCTCCACCCCCTGCCCCCCAAAATCACATTTATACTATAACATATACCTATACTCCGCTAATGTGAAATCCCCCCAAAATGGAAGTATGTTATACGAAGGGCTAGCTCTAAACCCCAAGCCATAAGGCCTAAACCCTAACCCCCAAACCCTAAACCCGTAGTTAGGGTAGGGGTGGGGGTGGTTTGTAATATCAAGGGGGAGGGGATTGGCGTCATCCCGCCTGCTTAAGTATGCCTAAGTATGCCCGAAGCTGCCCTAAACCCTAAACCCTAAACCCTAAACCCTAAACCCTAAACCCTAAACCCTAAACCCTAAACCCTAAACCCTAAACCCTAAACCCTAAACCCTAGACTCCCAAAAAAGAGTTCGTCTTGCCCAGGGCTTCGGCGGGAACGCCGGCCTTCCGGATGCCAAGCCGCCCTTCGGATGCGGGGCCCGGATGCCAAGACCGGGTCATTGAGAGCATCGTAGGGTGCTAGGGTCTAGGGTTGAGGGTTTGGGGTTTAGGGTTTAGGGTTTAGGGTTTAGGGTTTAGGGTTTGGGGTTTGGGGTTTGGGGTTTGGGGTTTAGGGTTAAAAGGGTTGAGGGTTTTAGGCTTGAAAAGGGGTTGGGGTTGAGGTCTTAGGGTTTAGGGTTGGAAGGGTTTGGGGTTTCGGGTTAAAGCAGGTTTAGGGTTAAGAGGGGTTGGGATTAAGGGTTCAGCATTGTGCGGGTTTAGGGTTTAAAGGGGTTAGGGTCTTAGGGTCAAAAGGGTTTAGGATGTTTAGGGTGAGAAGTGTTTAGGGTTCAGGTGAGTCAGTCCTGACGCACTGCTGGAGCTAGGTAGGCCCCCTAAGAGATTTGTTCCCCACCTTTGGTGTTGGTGTGGGGTTGCTAGATTTTAAACTCAACTCTTCTCCTCGCCCGGAACTCTTCTCCTCGCCCGGTCTACTCCTAGAGACTGCCTGGAGTGCCCAACCCCAGAGACTCCCTGGAGCGCCCAATCCCTGGAGTGCCCAACCCAGAGAGTCTCCTGGGCTGCCAAAGCCCAGAGTTTTTTTGGAGTGCCAGAGTCTCCCTGGAGTGCCCAACCCCAATTGCAAGCAAAAACTAAGAAAGCGTATCTGAATCAATGTGTGTTTGTTTGAACATCTTATTCGTGCTCTTTCCGTTTAACGAGGAGCAAGGTGGGGATGTTCGAAGTGAAATATTTGTTACACAGCGTTTTTTTTTTAATTTTAAGTTGGCTCTAAGATGATCATTACTTAGGAATAATCTTTCAGAGCGTTCTCTATAAGGGCCATCTTAGGGATTGTTCATTATTAGGATTACTCTTTCAGGGGGTTCGAATTAAGGGCCATGCTAGGGAGCGTTCCATGCTCATGACTTGGGAATAATCTTTCAGAGGGTTCTACTTGAAGGTTCATGGTACTTACTAACCAATTATTACTGGGCTTATAACCCTACTTATAATTGGGATAACCCCTATAAGGCCCTTTAGGGGTATTGTAAGTAGGGTTATAGGTAGAGTTATAATTGGTTAGTAAGTACCATGAACCTTCAAGTAAGGGCGTTCTACATTCCCGTGGGGGCACTTCCAGGCGACATCGCCCGCGACGCATTTGCGGAATGTCTTCGGGAAGAAGATGGGCCGCGACCTCGGAGAGGATTTAGGGTTTAGGGTTTAGGGTTTAGGGTTTAGGGTTTATCCGTTTAGGGGTTAGGTTTGAGGGTTTAGGGTTGGATATGGGAGCTTGCGAAAGTAAGGGGACCCTACGAGTATAGAGCGCTGTCCCCCCAGAGAGTAGGGTTCCCTTCTAGTAAGGAATACCCACAATTTCGGAGACCCCCCCATATCTCGCTGTGCTTTGGACCTGTAGCATCTGTAGAGCCGAGCAGAGTACTCAAAGAGTCCAATACACCTCGATCAACAAATATACCTTAAAACCATGATTGGGTCCCCATGCTGCTGCAAGGTAGTAGTCCGTTTTAAAGGGGTATTGGGCCCTTCGGCTTAAACCCTCAACCCCAAACCCCAAACCCCAAACCCTAAACCCTAAACCCTAAACCCCTATACCCTAAACCCTAAACCCTACATCCTAAACCCTAAGCCCTACACCCCAGCTCTAAACCCTAAACCCTAAGCCCTAAGCCCTAAGCCCTAAGCTCTATACCCTAAACCCTAAACCCTCACCCCTAAACCCTAAACCCTAACCCCTAACCCCTAAACCCTAAACCCTAAACCCTAAACCCTAAACCCTAAACCCAGGCTTCACAGACCAGCAGATCGTGGCGCTCTCGGGAGCGCACACGATTGGCCGAGCCTTCAAGGAACTGAGGGAGCTGAGCTCAAAGGTTAGGGTTTAGGGTTTAGGGTTTAGGGTTTAGGGTTTAGGGTTTAGGGTTTAGGGTTCAGGGTTTAGGGTTTAGGTTTTAGGGTAAGGTTAATTCATTTTCAGAGCAAAGCTTTAGTTCAAAAACGGGGCCTTGCCGCACTGCCTTCGCTTGATTTCAACTACCCATCTGGGCCATGCGCTGTGAGGAGCGCAGCGGTACTTGCCCCTTCGGCTACAGCAACGCGGTCGGGCCCTCATAGCTTGGGTTTAGGGTTTAGGGTTTAGGGTTTAGGGTTTAGGGTTTAGGGTTTAGGGTTGAGGGTTAGGGTTTAGGGTTTAGGGTTTAGGGTTTAGGGTTTAGGGTTGTCTGAACTGTGGTACTTGGCGGCTCATGGGTACCAGTAGCTAGAAGTAGGGTTCTAAGCGCCCCAGGTGGGGTTGTAAGTTGAACTACCCTGCGTACAACCCTCCTTCCACCGACCCATGAACCTCCAAGCCCTAAACCCTAAACCCTAAACCCTAAGCCCGAAACCCTAAACCCTAAACCCTAAACCCTGGACCCTAAACCCTGAACCCTCGCACGTAGTCTTGGGCACACCGTATCGGTTCCCCAGGGAGCCTCGAAGTACACGAACACCGACTGCGTGGTGCGGAAGGATGGCTATGGGCCCATAAATTTCTGTTGGGTTTGGGGTTTGGGGTTTAGGGTTTAGGGTTTAGGATTACGATTGTTGATGCGTAAGCTACCATTTGCGTAAGGACCACCCCAAAAAATGCGAAGGACTCTTCTTGAGAAGGGCAAGATAATTAGGGATTGTTGTTCTTCATTTTTTCGGGGGGTTCGTAAGCAAATAGTGGTATACAGATGGAAGAAGCGTTGTCAATCAACGTGCAAGAGCGACCAAGCCATAATTTCGTTTCGATGTTCGTGCGATGCAGCCACTCTGAGACAGGACAAGAAATCTGGTGTTGGCATCTTGGCAGAAATAAACCCTAAACCCTCAACCCTAAACCGTAACCCTAAACCCTAAACCCTAAACTCTAAACCCTAAACTCTAAACCCTAAACCGTAAACCCTAAACCCTACACCCTAAACCCTAGAAGGCGCCCCTGCGGCCGTGTCCTGAGCGCCACCCTGCGGGTCAGGAATGGCGGGCGGTGCGGCCTGGACGAAGAACTGGCTGACTTTCGACAACAGACCCCCTGCCGTGCTTTACTCCCTAAACCCTAAACCCTAAACCCTAAACCCTAAGCCCTAAGCCCTAAACCCTAAACCCTAAACCCTAAACCCTATTTTGGGATGTTCTTCCTTATACTCACAGTCCTCAATCGGGATTATATTATACCCTATGATGATCCCTAGTAATTAATCCCAAGTCTGATTGTTGGTTATAGTAGGGAATGAGGGAATGAGGTACCGTATATATCCTGTAAATACCCTTTAAGAGATTAAACAGGGTTCTTCATTCCCCCATTCCCTACTAACCAACAGCTATGTGCATGTGTGCTCTTCCTGAGGCCTTGCACCGTTCAGGGTTTTTCCCTCCCTCAACCTCAACCTACCCGAAGCTGGCCCGATGTTCTGTCGTGCTAAACGCACTCTACTACACTCGTCCTTTCTACGATCCTATAGGGCTGCAGGGAGAGGATATGCAACCTCCATGGTGGCATTGGCCTGTGACAAGAGACAGTCATGTAATGGTGAGGATAGCGCTGATTGTGTAGAACTGATCTCTCCCTGTGACAAGAAAAGCAATTGCGAGGTTTGCAAGGACTAAGCAAATTAGGAGGCCATGGTGTGAAAATTCTGGTTCGAAGCTTCATTGCATATGCAGCGAGAACTAGCTGCGAAAGCATCCCTAAATAACCTTAGTTATGGGCGGAACCTTGGGGGGAGTTTTTGAGGGTGTAGTAGGGGAACCCATATGACAGCAAGGTGTTCGCAGCCAGCTCCGAAATGTGCAAAACACTGCACGTCTGGCTGGGCTGGCAGTGTACGAACAGGAAGCTTACTGGTGCTTAAGTGAAACCCTATAGTAGTCCCTACATAATTCCTTTATAAGAGGCCCTCTCTTCACTCTTCCACTCTCCATTAAGCACCAGTAGGAAAGGCCCCAAGGCCAACAGGTTGTCAACTGATTCTCCAAAAATCCCAAGACCCCTTAACTAAGGAATGCACCTTGAACTATACGAGGAATCCCAATATAGCGTAAGGTAGATTCCCCCTAGCCCTAAACCCTAAACCCTAAACCTTGATAAGGGAGGGGAGTAGATTCCTCAATTGAGGGGTGTTGGGCGCTCTGGGTCTCGTGGCAGTCGCAGGATGTCGAAAGTAACGTGGCGGGGCTAGCTGAAGCCAAAAGGTGGCTAGGGTTTAGGGTTGCAACGGCACGCGGCACACGCCCAGAAGCTGCCAGGCTACTTCAAGGACTACAAGTCGAAGGACGCATTCCCCAAAGAGCCCAATACAATTTCGGAGCATACCTTAAATCATAATCGGGATCCTAACATGGGTATTTCCCAAAATAGGGGTGCCGCTTTGATACCCAAATAGAATAGAGTCCCTTAAAGGGACCCTCCTAAAAAACGGGTACCCCTATTTCGGAAACCGCCATACTTGGAGGTTCATGGCACTTAGTAACCAATTAGAACTGTACGTATAACCCACTTAAGAAGCCCCTTAAGTGCCAGAATATGGTAATAAAGTATGGTTATAAGTAGAGTTATAACTAGTTGCTATGTACCATGAACCTCCAAGTTTGACCTAAGGTATATTCCTTAACTAAGGGCTATTTCGGCTCTCTGAGCCTCTGATCTTGTGGAGTCGCGGGATGGGCTTAGGCCTGGTGCATCCTTTATAATGAAGGGGGTGTAGGGTTGAGGGTTTAGGGTTGAGGGCTTAGAGAGTTCGTGCTGCCTGAAGCCCTAGACTTAGACCATCAGCCCACGACCAGCCAACACTCGAAGCCTCGCGCAGTGTCCGCTTGGCGGTTCATGGTAGTTGTGAACCATTCTAACTGTACTTATGACCCACTTTTTAAAGTCCCTTAAGTGCCCCTAGGCATGGTTATAAGTGCAGTGACACGTACAGTAATCATTGGTTCATACGTGCCATGAACCTCCAAGCGAGGACGACCACCTCCTCTGGTTCCCGACAGACCAGGCTCGGTCGCTCGGTGTTTTAGTTCGCCGCATGTGGGGGTCTACCCCCAAAATAGAGATCCCTAAATCCTAGGATCCCCTTACAAAAGGGACCCCCAAAGAAGGCAAACTTAATTTCGGACACCCCCATGTGGAATGCCTGATTGCAGCTATGCCATGCTGCAAGCTGGGGACGGCAATGAGCTGCGAGTTGCTTCTTCACGTCGTTCGCAGGCTGCTAAGCCTTGAACCCACCAGAGCCCTAAACCCTAAACCGCAAACCCTAGACCCTAAACCCTAAGCCCTAAACCCTAACCCCCCAGACCCTAAACCCTAAGACCTAAACCCAAACCCCTAGACCCTAGACCCGAAACCCTATAAAACCCCTAAACCCCTAAACCCCAGTGAGCATTTTTGTGAATGGTCTTCGAGGCTCTCCATGAGGACCCTCGACCCTAAACTGAAACCCTAGACCCTAAGCCCTAAACCCTAAACCCTAAACCCTAAACCCTAAACCCTAAACCCTAAACCCTAAACCCTAAACCCTATAAGCCCCTAACCCCTAAGTGAATGGTCGGCGAGGCCCTCCATGAGGATCCCGAGTTCAAGAAGTCTTTCGACCTGTATGCCCAGGACGAACGCTGTGCACAGGCTGTGAGCATCTTCGGCTTGGAGGGTTTAGGGTTGAGGGGGTTTAGGGGTTTAGGGGTTTGGGGTTTAGGGTTAAGGGGTTTAGGGTTTAGGGGTTTAGGGTTTAGGGTTTAGGGTTCCTTGCACAATTTTCTTCTAAACCTGGCAGTTGCCTGACCATTCAGCAGGACCAGGATGCCTTCTTCAGGGACTACGCAGTGGCCTCGCTGCGCATGTTTGTATGCGGTTGAACGTAAAACCCTAAGCCCCCTAAACCCTATCCCTACTTTCCCTACCTTTTGTGTGGCTTTTTGTGCGGTGCGCAGCTGGCAGACGACGGTTTTGCACAGCCTTGATGGGTGCCAGGCTCACAAGAAGTTGAGCGAGCTGGGCGCCAAATGGGAGCCGGCGGGCGGCGTCAAGATTTGAAGCCGCGGAGGGAGGTAGCACGTGGCAGGCGACGGCGATTTTGTTGGGATGCTAGAGTCCCACCCGCCGCGCCACTCGCTTCCCGGGCACGCACCCAGCCGAAGATAGTACGGCGCTTCTGTGTTTTGATTCACAGCACATTCTTAGTCAAAAGAAGCATGTTTTGAATCCAAAGCATCAAACCACCTTGGTTTGCGATCGGCAGAGGGAGGCCCAGGGAGGGTTGAGGGGATTGATTTATCCACCCAAGGTCTCGGAGCCCAGGGCTGGATTTTGCACAGATTTTCCACACTAAACCCGCGAAGCTCATGTCGAGCGGACCCCTGCTTGGCGCCAAAAGGCTGGCTGGAACATGCGGTGGGTTCCGGGTCGATTTGGCGCAGCTGAATATTGCCCTCTTACTATCACCTTTTGCTCAGAAGACAGCCCCGTGTGCATTATCATCATCATCATCATCGTCATCATCGTCGTCATCGTCGTCGTCGTCGTGAGGCCAGGGTACAACTGCACGATGAACTCAGAGACTTGTGCTTTACTGCTCGCACTACAAAGCATTCTCTTATTCGTAGAGCTTTGTAGGGCCATGACGAAGCAGCACGCTGTAGCTGTTCCATGCTGTAGATTTCTAGTGCGTCGAAATGTAGTAAGTAGAACACAAGCCTTTGTCTTGAATGTTGTGGTCTGTTGTGGTGTTCCATTTTGCAAGGCTCAAGGTTTGGGGCTTATGAGCAAAGAACGCTTCACTGAACGTTTGTCATATGGCCGTGCGAGAGGCTCCTTTTGGGTCGCTGCTTCTTTAGGCTCAACGAGAGTATATCCCGCCAAACCCTAAACCCTAACCCTAAACCCTAAACCCTAAACCCTAAACCCTAAACCCTCAACCCTAAACCCTAAACCCTAAACCCTAAACCCTGAACCCTAAACCCTAAACCCTAAACCCTAAACCCTAAACCCTAAACCCTAAACCCTAGTCGCGACTCGCAACAAGGCTACTTCTACACCTGATATTCACGAAGAATGTAAAGCATCAGTGAACATCGGCAGATCAAGCAGCTGGCCCAATGAAGTTGCCTACATTTGCCTTCCTAGCAGGACTGCCCGAAACCCTAAACCCTAAACCCTAAACCCTAAGCCCTAAACCCTAAACCCTAAACCCTAAAACCTAAAACCCTAAACCCTAAACCCTAAATCCTAAGCCCGCCTCGGCCTGGCCATGAACGGTGATGGCTCAGAGTCCCTTCCCCGTGAGCTTCACATTCGGAAAGCACCGGGGGAAGAGCTTCGAGGAGGTGCGTCTCCTGGATCCTGGCTATGTGCTATGGGCCAAAGGAGCTTCGACGAGTTTAGGGTTTAGGGTTTAGGGTTTAGGGTTTAGGGGTCAATCGATGGACAAGACCAGGAGCTTCCATTCTTCTTCTGCATGTTCTTGTACCCAAGCAGTGGAGGATTTCTTTGAAGCCCCTGCTCCGAAGAGCCAGCACCACCCCAAATCGGAACACCTGAGCAAACTTTTTCTGGGATTCCTGCCGGCCGACAGTTTTTCTTAGGTGATAGGAACAGGCCCTGGTTTGGAACATACTGGGGTACCCCAGGCCCGAGCAAACCCCACAAATTGGCAGAGCTTGGGTTAATTTGAAGTTTTTGCTGCCTCCTCACACGGTTTGCTATAGCATGTCACGCCGAAAGCAGAAGTGCTTGGGCGTGATGATAGTGAAATTAAACGTGACACATTGTAGAGGGACACGTTGCGGCACAAAGCACGCTCAGCATCGCTTTGGGACGCTGTTTCTGTTTTTTTTTTTTTTTTTTTTTTTCCGTGCTCCTGATCCCTTCCTCCTGTCAAGAATGGGGGAAATGTGTTGTTTGCACTTTCCTTGGTGCGGGCGTGGCTTAAAACTAGTGTGCCGTCACCCTCCACACTTTTCTTAGCTTTTCATCGTGACTTCCCATGATGTCAGGAGAGAACCCTGGTCCCGGAGGTCGTCTCTACCCCTTCGTGCAGTGGTGCCTGGCCAAAGAATCAGCATGGCGCGGACAGGCGCCCAAGCGCACCCTAGCGGCGCCATCCTTGCCGGAAGCCAAGAAGGCCAGCGGATCGGATGAACCGAGGAGTTGCGAAAAGTGCGGATCCTACGACGTGCCACCGTGGGTTCGGAAACGAGTTGCCGTGCGTTGCGGCCCCTGCTGGAAAGAGTGCTTTCGAAGCTCCAACGAAGCCTTCTACTTGCGCTGTCCCATTGAAGAGAAACTTGGTAGTAGAGTAGGAAACCTTTAGCTTTTCTTGGGGTATTCTAGTTCCCATATACTCCCGAACCCAGAGACTAACCTTTCGTTCCCCGAGGATACTGGGCAACTAAGGAAAAGCAAGGTAAAGGAACGAGGCGCTTTTTGGGATGCCGCCCTGCAAAAGTGGTACGTTCCAGCCGGCAAAGACATCTCGCTGTTCGAAGCATGGTTTCTTTGTCATAGTGGGGTAGCATTCTATGTTTTTTGGGTACTTAGACTCAATAGGAGTAGACGTTTAAGTTCTTATGTAAATTCTTAGTACGATCCCAACCATGAACCAGGTTTGTGCGCTGTGTGCGTTGCGGAGAGGGCCTGAGTGACGACCCAAAGCTGAACTACGATCCGAGCAGCACGACTCTTTGCGGTGCTTTACTGTAACTTTAGATCCTTAGCCTTTTTCGGTTTACTGGGCTTCTGAATGTCCCTAAACCCCTAAACCCTAAACCCTAAACCCTAAACCCTAAACCCTAAACCCTACACCCTAAACCCTCCTAAGTGCAGCCAAGGACTTGCCCACCCCAGTGTGTGCCAGAGTGCCCGGTGGATCGCCAGCGGCACGCGCATGAGGAGCGAAACCCTAAACCCTAAACCCTAAGCCCTAAGCCCTAAACCCTAAACCCTAAACCCTAAACCCTAAACCCTAAACCCTAAACCCTAAACCCTAATCAATGAGGAGCAGCAGCGAAAGATGGCAGAGCTGGCACGGCTGAGGAAGGAGGAGGCTGAGAAACGCCTCGTTCAGATCAGGGAAGAGGCGGGGGCAGCCGTCGCAAACCGTGTAGGTTGCTTCGGCCTGGGTTTAGGGTTTAGGGTTCAGGGTTTAGGGTTTAGGATTTAGGGTAGGCCCTTGAGACGTTTTGTCTTTCCCTGACTGGGTTTAAGGAGGGATTCGATTTAGGAGTCTTCTCAGAGGTCAACCCTTGGTGTCTTTTTAGCACTTTTGAGATAACTTACCTTCTTTTATAGGGTATATAAGGGGTATACAAGAATTCCCCAACCCTAAACCCTAAACCCTAAACCCTAAACCCTAAACCCTAAACCCTAAACCTTAAACCCTAAACACCCATAGTGCAGGAAGGGACCATGTAGACACCTGCTGCCAGATCTCGCGCGCAGGTGAAAGCTGGCTTCCTGCAGTTCCTCCGCCAGGAAGCCGTGAAAACCGAGAAGCTGATGAGGGACCGAAGCACGGAGAACGACGCAGTTGGACCTCTGGGAGGTTCATTGGGGTTCGTGGGTTTAGGGTTTAGGGTTTTGGGTTTAGGGTTTAGGGTGTAAGGTTTAGGGTTTATAGTTCTCAGTAGGGTTTTTGCGTGCCCTAACTAGGGCCATACGTATATAGCTACCATGCTTGCAGCCCTACTTTAGAACTACCCATGAACCTCCCAGCTGGAGGCCTTCTTGAAAGCTTGGATGCGAAGATCGAAATGGTCAAGCAGCTGGAGACATCAGGTTGGGGGCATTGTGCTTGGGGCATTTGGGTTTTTTTTTGGGGTGGCCAAACATGTGGCTGAGGAGTCATGTCGGCGTGCTTTCCTGACATGGAAGGACTTGCGAAGATCAAGATTCCATCCTAAACCCCCCCAAACCCCCCTAACCCCCCCCCCCCACCCCCCCCTAAACCCCCCTAAACTCCCCCCCCCCCCCCCCCAAACCCTAAACCCCCCTAAACAAACTCCCCCTAACCCCCCCCGTAGCCCTCAAAACCCTTCAAAACCCCCCCCTAAACCCTAAAACCTAAACCCTAAACCCTAAACCCTAAACCCTAAACCCTAAACCCTAAACCCTAAACCCTAAACCCTAAACCCTATCTCATGCATGGAGGGCGTGGGACGGGTTTAGTTCACAGACGCTTCTTGTTGAGTCTCCCGAAGACAGGCACGCATAGATGTTCAAGGGAACCATGTACTGTACATGCATATATACACATATACAAACATACAGAAACGTATATCTATATCTATATCTATGTCTATATCTATATCTATATCTATATCTATATCTATGTCTATGTCTATGTCTATGTCTATGTCTATATCTATATCTATATTCGCTTCGAATTGAAGATATGAACCCAACGGAGTCCACAATCCCCTAAACCCTAAACCCTAAATCCTAAATCCTAGATCCTAAACCCAATACCCTAAACCAGTTTTCTCCACCCTGCCTATCATCATCATCTTGTCATCGTGCAGGTGGCAATGCTGGCGAATTCTTTTACAATCCCTTCCAGGAAGGTGAGAGTATTGCTTCACTGTTTCTTGGACATCATAGCCCTGTTGTGGTTTTGTTCTTGGAGGTGCATCTTGCCATCGGATACTCATTCGGACACGCTTCACTTGTTGCAGGGTACCCCTTTCGTTTAACATGGTACATACTCGCAATTCACCTCTTGAGCCGCAGTGATCTATTTCCTTCATCGCCTTCTGGCAGCCAGATCCAACTTTTTCCAACTCTTCTTTCATCTCCCGTATGGGGACGATTGATTATTTTATTGTTAAAATTAGTTTTATTAATTGAATTATCGTCGCATTCTCAGGAGCAGCAGCGTCGTCCGCTGGCTGCGATCATTTGGAGAGGCCCACTTCTCCAAGCAGCCTGGCTACGTGAAGCGGATGGACTTTCGGGCTGAGCGACTCTTCGATTCTTGGTAGCCCAGTGGTGCCCTTTTCCTTTTCTTTTTTTTTTTTTTGGGGGGGGGGGGGGGGGTTCTGGTTCCCTTATAAAGTAACCAAGCCAAAAAGGGGTGCCCTGATTATAAGATGGTTCCTGGGCTATTCAGGATTGGGCCCTGACATTTTACCACTTCTTTCTGGACCAGTGGATCAGCGACCGGCTCCAGAAGACCGGCAACCAAGACGCCCGAAAGTATGTGGCCACGCATCAGGAGCTAAAAATATGTAGGGTTTAGGGTTTAGGGTTTAAGGTTTAGGGTTTAGGGTTTAGGGTTTAGGGCATCAGGAGCTGATCAGCCACTGGCTGCTGCAGTCCATGGATGCGGTGACGCCTGATCTCAAGGTCATGATCGAAGAAACTCTACGAGACCGCTACAAAACCACCTGTCCTGACATCGTCGCGATTTTTGGTAGCAAGATCCTGCCGAGAGTTCGGACAAGTGGGGAGCAGGTCGTGGCCAAGGAGGACATCGTAAGCTGCTGTGTGCTCGCACCCCGGATGTGCTTAGAACGGTTTAGGGTTTAGGGTTTAGGGTTTAGGGTTCAGGGTTCAGGGTTTAGGGTTTTTAGGGTTTAGGGTTTAGGGTTCAGGGTTTAGGGTTTAGGGTTTAGGGTTTAGGGTTTAGGTGGGCAGCAGGCTCCCACTCCTTCTCTGGGCCAAGTGAAGCCTCTTTGTGCTTTCAATACCGGCCAATCGAGGAGTACATGCGGAATCGCAAGGGCTACGACAGAGCCCACAACGAGACTGAGGAGACGACCCCCTAAACCCTAAACCCTAAACCCTCAACCCTCAACCCTCAACCCTAAACCCTAAACCCTAAACCCTAAACCCTAAACCCTAAACCCTACACCCTACACCCAAAACCCTAAACCCGAAACCCCAAACCCTAAACCCTGAGGAGACGACCTACATGCGCGACGTCCTGAATGTGCTGCTCGAAGAGTTGCTCCGGCAGCCTTTCGGCCACGCTCCCGCACGCCGGTGCACTAGAAACTTGGCTTTCTTCTGGCTGGCTCTTAGGGTTTAGGGTTTAGGGTTTAGGGTTTAGGGTTTAGGGTTTAGGGTTTAGGGTTTGTGCAGAAACTACAAGAAGGAGCCTCAAAGTGAAACTTTTAGGAGAGGGTTCAGAAGTCAGCCAAGGAAAGAGCTCTCCGGCCGCAGCCGCTCCCCTGCTCTGTCGGGAAGTCAACAGCTCCGGCACTGAGCCTGGGATTTCGACTTTGTGTGTTTTTGGAACCCAGGGATTCCAAGACCTCTTGATTAAGGAATAGACCTTAAATCATATGAGGGTTCCTATTATAATTTAAGGGCTATTCCTTAATTAAGGGGTTTCGCAGTTCCAAGGGGCACCTTTTTTCATAACACAAGGGATTTGTTGCTAGTGTTTCGCAAGAGTTCCCTTAAACCCCTAAACCCTAAACCAAACCCTACTTGGAAAAACTGAAGGCACTGTGAGTTTTGAGTTGCAGACTTGTGGCAGGAGACCTTACACCAGCATGGCCCAACTTTCGAAACGGGGATTTGCGATTCTTCGCGCCCCCCCCCCCCCTCCCCCCCCAAAATTGTTGAGACTTCGGATCCCAAAGCAACCTTTACCCACGTGTACCCTTAGGGTTTAGGGTGTAGGGTTGAGGGTTTAGGGTCTAGGGTTTAGCTTGGAAGGTTTTTCTCCTGCACAAGCCAGTGGCTTTTCGGGTGCATGCCAGTCTTGAGGGGTGTAGTATACGACTTGCACCAACAAAAGTAGCAACAAAAACAACCGCCAAAATTGCCAAGCAAAACGAGGCCTTCAGAAATCAACAGCATGTTCTGAGGAAGAGAATGTCTGGAAGCAATGCAGGTTTGAACACCAACCTAAGCACTTGTTGCCGGCATCTGTTTTGAAAAGTTTATCATTTAAGCCAACTGTGCTCCCAGAGTTTGTACAGAAGTTTGCAGTTCTGTTGCATGCATTCTCAAACCCTAAACCCTAAATCCTAAACCCTAAACCCTAAACCCTAGATCTAAGGACGCGTTGTTCTTTGCCAACCCGGAGCATCCGCATCGGCTGGCCAGCGCAGGCAAACAGTGCTTCATGCTGCGCCAGCCAAACACCGGAGCAGCGGATCTCTTTGACTGGTGCTTGACTGGCTAGTTCTTAGTAGGCTATGTAGTCGCGTAAAGGGTATGCATATATATATATATATACATATCTATATATGTATATATATGTATATAAATGTATAGAGCCCTAATTCCCTGATTCCCTACTAAGAACCAGGTGCTTGATGCAGGAAGCTGCCCTTGCTATGACAGCAGATCCCGACCACGGTGGCCGCGCGGCCTTTGAAGTTCCTGAGCCCGCCGCCTTTCGTCGGCGCATTTTTGCCCTCTTCAGAACATTGCACTTCAGGATAGACCGAAACTGGGTATTGCTTTGGGATAATTTCAAATTTCCCTTCATTCCCTTTTAAGGGAACCCATTCACAAATAATTTTCAAAGGGCTTTAAAGCAACACCCAGGAAAGGTAGCAAACGTGTATGGACGTTACGGCCTGGATGAGGGCTTGAGGGAGGGCGATAAGGACCGCCGTGTGGCAAAAGTCAAGCAGGACTTTCCGCATCTGCATTCTGAGATGTTGGAGCACAACTGGACTGTGCGTGACTACGTAGGCTTCAAGGAGAAGAGGCTTCACAGTAACACGGATTTGATCCAGATCTTGTGCAAACACCTGGATTTGGACCAGCCACAATACGGGGCCTTCATGCAGGCTGCACATCAAACGGCTACCCGGAGGATTGATGAGGCTCTCGCGATGCGAGAGAAGCACCATGAGGAACTGGAGGCTGCCTTGTCGTCCTCCCATGTGAGGCTAGAGCCTTGAAGAGGTTTCGAACACCCACTTGTCAGATTTGGTACATATGAGAACTGGGATCTCCTGCGACATTTCCGACAGGCCTTCTTCGCACCACAATGTCACGGCCTCGCCCATGGTCCGACCGTCCAGAATGGGGTCAGACCGCTCCGATCGACGATCTATGACCCTGATCGATGACCTCGATCGATCGGAGGCTTCTCATCGCTCGAACCCTTGAGGCCTTTTGCAGTTTGGGCCATCCGTCCCCCCTAGAGACCTCCACCTTGTGAGCGAGCAGCCAGCTGACAAAGCTGCCGTTGCTTTTGGCATCTTTCGCCTTTTGAGCGCCAGTCTGCCTTCGTAAGCTACATCGAACCCGCACAAAGGCTTCAGTCAGGTGAAATAATTCACGTGTCTGAAAATCCTCTTCGTTCAGTGGCCCTTGCAACCACTTGGTATTACCGCAACCACGTGACTGTCATGAGCGCGCAAAGAAAGACGAAAGATAGCATCGTTATTCCTGATCCAAGAGATGAGAGGGAAGTCCAGGATGTAAAAGAGTCCGGAATCGATGGGATTAAACCCTAAACCCTAAACCCTAAACCCTAAACCCTAAACCCTAAACCCTAAACCCTAAACCCTAAACCCTCAGAAGTGCAATTGGGGACAAGGTAAGACAATCACACAAAGTATGTTAAAAGTAGATGAAAAGAAGAAGTGTGCTAGAGGATCAAAGTAAGAAGTTTTTAGCTTTTCCATCAGAACTCATGTCAGCAAAGATAGATAGCTCTAAAAAAGCCAAGATGAAGCTGTGCAATGTGTCTCATGGTAACCCCAGATCTACTGCACCATGTAAAAGAACAATCCCTGAAGGACCACCTATAGCAAAGTTTTTCACAAAAGAGTTGTGTGAGACCCCGAGACCGAACACCAAACCTTCCCGAGACCGAACACCAAACCCTCCCAAAGAGCCCAAACACCCCTTAAGTAAGGAAGGTACTTTAAACTTTCTTGAGGTTTAGGTAGGGTTTAGGGGTTTAGGGCTTGAGAGGTTTAGGGTTTAGGGTTGAAGGTTTAGGGTTTTGGGTTTAACGGCTTTGGGCTTAGGCCCTAGGGCCTAGGGCTTACGGCTTAGGGGTCCCAATATGATTTATGGCATATTCCTTGATCCGGGGTATTGGGCTCTCTGGGCTCAGCCTTGAGAAGCTTTCGAACAAGAAAGAGAAAACACACAAAAACCCTTTCAGGTCCATGGGTAGTTATAGGCAGGACTATAAGTATGGTAAATGTACTTATAACCCTTTTTAGGGGTACTTGTAACCCTACTCCGAACCACCCAAACACTGCATTCATTGCTCAAGTCGCAGTTTAGGCTCCGAAGGCTTAGCAGTAGCATGGTGGCAATGCCCATCATCCAAGTTAGTTTCCGGGGCCTGAATGGCAAGAACCTGTGCCAAAGCACCTTTCGGGAAGATGCCGAGGCCTGCGGCTTTAGAGGTTTAGGGTTTAGGGTTTGGGGTTTAGGGTTTAGGGTGCCTATCTGATCCTACGGCAATTTTAAAGGGGTACTCAAGCAAAGTGGTGCAACTAAAGCACGAGAGATCACGAGAAGAGATTGCGCAAACGCCTGGAAGACCATTCAAGGGGGAACCCTAAACCCTAAGCCCTAAGCCGTAAACCCTAAACCCTAAACCCTAAACCCTAAACCCTAAACCCTAAACCCTAAACCCTAAACCCTAAACCCTAAACCCTAGAATCTTCAGCAACACTCTCTTCAGTGTCCAGGTCTCGGATGTCAAAATGATCCTGAAGGACAAGTTCAAAGATCGCCAGGCACCTGCACCTGACTTCCAACCTCAGCCTTAAAGGGTTTAGGGTTTAGGGTCTAGGGTTTGGGGTTTAGGGTTTAGGGTTTAGAGTTTAGGGAGGGTTTAGGGTTTAGGGGTGGGCATAGCCGGGCCTCTCCGTGATTTGTTTGGTCTGCAGCAGCTGAAGGCTAAAGCTGCAGTCAGAGTAATAGTAGAGCAATTTTTTAGAGTTAGCATCTTGTAGTAGTGATCGTAGTCGTGCTGGCCATCGTAGCATTCCCTGTTCTTGATATGGACTTGAACAGGTCTGCCAGGCTCAGGTTGATTGAGCAGTCAAACGTGCGCAGAGTTATGACCACTTGGAGGTTCATGGTACTTAGTAACTAGTTATCACTGTACCTATAACCCACTTATAAGCCCCTTTAAGTGCCCCAATATGGTTATAAGTACAGTTATAAGTACAGTTACAATTAGTTACTAAGTACCATGAACCTCCAAGCAGAGTTCTGACCAAGGCCAGCTGTCTGATCGTTTCTTTTTCGTTGCTGCACTTTTTTTCGATGACGGTTGCTATTCCGCTGACCGATGCTGTTGCGACATATATGCACGATTAGCTATTCACTAGTATCTACAAAGTAGTCACTGCTAGCTAGTAGAAATTAGCTATTAACCTTTAACAGTCATCTAATACAGACTAGTAACCATACAGAACCTGTGAGTGGTAGATCACCTTTCCTAGTGCTGTTATTATTACTTCTACGAAGGTGTCTGCAGACAGACCACTGTGAGTGCTCTTGCGATTGTTTCTACTACTCTTACAAGCTTCATGGATACCGGGTAGCATCTCTGCAAGCATGACTAGTCTTTCCCATGGCCGTGGCTGCAGCCACGGCTATACAACCGTCCACCCAGGTTCTTCTCATGTGGAAAGATGTCTGGCTCAAGGCGCGGATCAGTCATCCTTGGCAGGAAGCCCTTAGTAGGGAAGGATTGTCGCGCTTCATTTTCGGTCATTGGAGCTCGGAAGCGCACCATCAGCGGGGAAGTGTGCTCAAGGAAAGTGCTACTAATCCCAGGGTGGGTCGTAACGATTATTATGGTGTGTAAAGGTATACAGTGCAGTGCGCTATAACTACATTTCGTGGTAACCGTTTGCTGCAGTAGACCACAGTGTACAAGGGAGCAGAGCCCTAGACGTGAATTTTTCAGGTTTGAGGCATCCCTACAACTTTGAGCCGGAACCCCTGAAGATTTAGGGTTTGGGGTATAGGGTTTAGGGTTTAGGGTAGAGAGTGTAGGAGCAGTATGTGCACAACCGCACTGTCAAGCCAATTTCGCTCAAGCTGCAAGGGCCAGTGAAGGTCTTGCTTTGAGGATGTATGGAGCTCATGGCTGAGTTAGCCTAGGTCTCTTGCTGTGGAGTAGGTTTCGAACCTCAGAAGTCTTCGCAACTGCTTGGGATGTCTCTCCCGCAACTGCAAACGGAGGATCCGAGACGCAAGCTGTGCGACGTTTTCGGCCAAGAGGCGCCCTGAGGGGGATGCTTCATGACGGCTCCCGGGATCCAGTGAAGGCATGGGCAAGGAAGGAGAAGGCTGATAGATTTGGGTGGCAGGCTTCCGGTGTGTTCTTTGGGTCCGAGATTGGCAGAACGATCTTCTGTTGTTCTTAGCGGCCTCATTTCTCCTCACTAGCTGTTTTTGGGTTCCCCTTAGCCTTAGTTCACCCTGACCCAAAGCCTCAGCACTTTCAACTGAATCCAGGCAAGTAGCTCTGGCGTGATCGAGGTGGAATTGAACGTCACGCCCTCAGTCCCGTCTCACCCCAGCCGCAAGCCTGGAAAGTTGAGAGTGCAACCGAGTACCTTGCAGGTTGTCTTTGCCGAAGGCGGTGGAGCTCGCAGATGCGCAGTCTGCAAGCTGGACCGAGAAGAATGGGAGGATGCGTACGACACGGTCCCCAACATTTTCCTCAAGTGCCCAAAGGACTGTCAGGAGCTGGTCTGCAAGAGGTGCTGGGACCAAGGCGTCCAGCTTTGCCCCAATTGTGGGGATGCGGTCAGCGGCAGCCCGTCTGAGGCCACCTTCACCGAGAAGCTTCAAAATCCCGACCGGGTGCTTCAGGTTGAGACAGGAGCGGAGGACTTGAGGGCCCCGCCTCCGTGCGCGGAGCCGTGGCGGGGGGAGCCCGCGCCCCGACCGTACCAGACATCCGCCTTCCAAGCCGCTGTGCAGGAGAACAGGATCATCGTCATGCCCACCGGAACCGGCAAAACGCTGGTGGAGATCATGCTCCTTGACCACCTCCTGAGAGGCGACACTGAGCCCTGGGCTGTGGTCGCAGTGAACGTTGCTGCCCTTGTCAGCCAGCAGGCCCGGGAGATTCGGGCGAAGTCAACCCTCCCAGACATCAGGGTGACCGAGCTGTCGGGCAGTGCCGTTGAGTGGACCCCTGAGTTTTGGAGAGCGGTGCGGCAGGGGCAGAGGCAAGTCATTGTGGGCACGGCGGAGATCATACGGAAGGCCGTGATTGATCATGGGTTCCTGTGCCTGGACGGCTGCTGCAAGCTCATGGTGTTTGATGAGGCCCACCACGCCCTCAAGGACCACCCCTTTGTCAAGATTCTCCGCAAGGTCACAGGCTCAGTAACGAAGGCCCCGACACCTCGTCTGGTGGGTCTGACGGCGTGCTACTTGCACGGGAAGATGAGAGCTCCGGAGGCCAAGAAGAGGCAGCTCGAAGAATGCTTCGCAGGGCGCATTTGGACCCCTAAGCAAGAGGAAATCCAACCCTTCATCCCATGCTTCACATTCGAGCGTCAGCGTTTTGACACGCCGCTTCAGGCCATGTCGAGTTCCTCCTTCCTGAAAAGGGCGGAGGACGACCTCTGGACAATCCTGCGGGACGTGCCTGAGGACGTCCGAAGCCTTGTCAAGGAGCATATGGGCAAGGCTGCAGGCGTGCTAGACTTGCTGGGCAGTGAAGGTGCCCAGTTTTACTTCTCGCATGGAATACTTTGCGCTGTGAAGCATCAGCTGGAGCACAGGATGAAGACCTTCTCGAAAGATGGGAAGCCCCGGCCAAAGTTACAGAGCAAGATCCGCGATGTGGAACAGCTGAGGCAAACATGCCAGCAACAAAAACTTCGACACACCGCTGATCCCGAAGCGTCCATTTCCGGGAAGGCTCGTGCCTTGATCGCTCGCTTGAAGGAGCTACTGGAAGAGGACACCAAAACACGGTGCATCATCTTCGTGTCCGAGGTGGCGTCCGCATATCCGTTGGCAGAGCTGCTCCAGCGCCACGTCCGGCGTGGGGTGCGGCCGGTGAGTGGCAGGAAGTCCATGTCAGACGAAGTCCGAGAAAAGAACCTGCGCCAGTTGCGGGAGGGTGAGGAAGGCGTGTGGTGCCTGGTTGCTACCGACTGCATGGAGGAAGGAATCGACATTCCAGCCTGCAGCGTTGTAGTGCGCTTCGACCGATTCCACAACGTGAAGAGCCATGTTCAGGGCACTGGCCGTTGCCGGGGCTTGGGCAAGGGTGGCCTGGTGATCTACTTCGAGAATGACCCCGGCGAGGAGGAAGACCAGGCGGCGCGCGTGCGTGCCATTGCCGAAGCCGCCAGTGAAGAACTCATCTCCACAGGGCCTCAGGCAGATGCTGGGCGGTCGGTGCATCCCGCAACGGGGGCCGAGATCAACCGGGACAACTGCCTACCCAGATTGAACGACTACCTCCGCCGGGCGTCCTCAGGCAGAATGCGCCTCGATGATGCCTTCGAACCGCAGCCTCCCTGCAAAATTCAGAGGTGCAGGGTCCCCATCGGGCCACGCAGGGACTTAACGGTGACGGAAGAGGACATTCCTGCGGAGGCGGCTGGGTGGAGCCCAAGAAGGCGTTTTGCTTTCGCCACGCTCACCAAGCTCCTTGAGCGCGGCTTCCTCACCGAAAACCACACGCCTTGCAACAGCCCTGGCGACCCGGAGGATTTCGCGGAGGCCGCGGAGCCTGAGGGGTCCAGATCGCACCACCTCCGCTTCAGCCCACAAGCGCTCGATGCCCTGCAGGCCGCGAAAGGCAAGCTCCTGGAGCGCATCTGCAAGGGCCTGAAGAGCGAGAATCGCAAGGGCGCCCTGAAGGAGTGTGCAGACTTGCTGTCGGGCAACGTCTCCTACCAGGAGGTTCCAGTGCCAGGAGCGCAAGGAGAGCAGGGTGGCCTCTTTCAGCGGGAGGTCTGCATCACAGGGCTGCAAGAGCCGTGGCACTTCTCCCCAGGCGACCCCTGCACCAGGAAGGCTGAGGCCGAGCAGAGCGCTGCAGCCGTGGCTCTGCAAGAGCTGCAAGCCATGCTGCAGCACGAGGCCTCTGGCTCGTCCACAGAAGTATCCGCAGGTCGGCCGGCCAAGACTTGCAGCACGGACAGGGCTGCAGGGGCTCAGGAGGCGCCGCCCGGCGTGTCCGAAGCCGTGGGGCCTGTGGAGGCTGAACCGGATGACGCTGCCACAGCCCGGGAAGCCAAGGATCCACCGACTCAGGCCATCCCAGCCGACCAGAAGCTGGAGACGACGGAGACGGCCCAGGAGCCACAGCCCTAACATCCTAGGCCCGCCTGCTTGCTTCCACTGCATTTAAACCCTAAAGCCTAAACCCCACACCCTAAACCCTAAACCCGAAACCCTAAACCCTAAACCCTAAACCCCTGAACCCTAAACCCTAAACCCTGATCTCACGAGGAGGATCCTTGCAGTGCTGGTGGCTCAGAGCCTCCCGAGGCAGCCGCAACGGAGATGGCGCAGTTCTGCGCGGGCGCCTCAGGGTTTAGGGTTTTAGGGTTTTAGGGTTTAGGGTTTAGGGTTTAGGGTTTTAGGGTTTTAGGGTTTTAGGGTTTTAGGGTTTTAGGGGTTTAGGGTTTTAGGGTTTTAGGGTTTTAGGGTTTTAGGGTTTTGGGTTTTGGGTTTTGGGGTTTAGGGTTGAGGCACTCGTTAGGGGCCACAGGCCCAAGAAGGTTTTGCAGGACTTTGGGGTTGCTCTCTAAGTTATGTTTATGGGTTTAGGGTTTAGGGTTTAGGGTTTAGGGTTTAGGGGTTTAGGGTTTAGGGCTTAGGGTAGGCTACCTACCTTCTTCTCTTGACTGCAAGAAGGCGTTTGGAAGAACTGAATGTGGGGCACAACCCCACGACGACCAACCCCCCCTTGTCCTTCCCGCAAACGCGCTCCGGAAGCAGGAGCGGCCCGCAGCTGTGCGTGGTCCATAGTGGTCCAAATAAAAAAGACCCCATACCTAGAGGTTCATGGGTAGCCCACCACCTGATCACTCTCAAGCCCTGAACCCTAAGCCCTAAGCCCTAAACCCTAAGCCCTAAGCCCTAAGCCCTGAGCCCTAAGCCCTAAGCCCTAAGCCCTAAGCGCTAAGGTGTAAGCCCTAAGCCCTAAGCCCTAAGCCCTAAGCCCCAAGCCCGAAGCCCTAAGCCCTAAGCCCTAAGCCCTATAAGCCCTAAGCCCTAAGCCCACCCGCACCCAGACCCCCCACACACATCAGGCGACGCATGGTCTCTCGAAGCAGCTCCAGGAGATGCTCTTGGAAGAAAACATCAGGAGAGGGCGTAGGGTCGGAAGGTGAAAGGGTGTAGGGTTTAGGGTTTAGGGGTTTAGGGGTTTGAGTGTTTAGGGTTTAGGGTTTAGGTGGGTTTTAGGGCTGCCTGCAAGTCGTGAGTTTCAGTGCCCTGCTTGAGCACATGCTTTAAAGACGCGGGGCATTTTCGCGGGAATTGTCGCTTAATATGTTGATTCGAAAACTGAGCAGAATGCTAAGGCCATACACGCAGCTTTAATGCCCCGAAAACCCTAAAACCCCTAAGCCCCTAAGCCCCTAAACACTTAAACCCCGGAACCCCTAAAACCCTAACCCCTACACCCTTTCACCTTTCAACCCTACCTACATCACCCCTGGCGGTGGCGGAGGTTCCGCTGTTGAGGGCTCTTGATGTCCCTTTTTTGCTCATTTCCGGAAGCTTTCGACTAGACGAGGGCTAGGTTTACTGCAGGTGTCCACGTGCTTGAACCCCAAACCCTAAACCCCAAACCTTAAACCCTGAACCCTAAACCCTCAACCCTAAACCCCTTTCCACGTCAAGAACCTCACTGGACGAGATGTAATGTACAGCCGCCAGCCCAATGAGCTCATGCTTCGCGTCCTCCAAGTAGAGCTGAGCTCAGTGGGCCGTTTTTGGCCAAAGGGGGCCAACCCGATCCATAGTGTTCCGAACCCGAAAGCCTATAACCTCCCGTGTTTTTGTTTTTTATCCAGTCCCTGTTTCCCCTTCAATTTTTTCGGGGTGCCCCGTGGAGGAGTCTACGTGAGCTCTTGATTTTGGACGACGAGGCGGTAGCCCCCTCCCCTCCCCTCCCCGAATGTGTGTACGGAGGCTTTCTGCGACAGGTGCTGCGCCCCCGAAGCCTACGCGCCCACGTAGTACGTTTCTCGCACTTTGGGGGGGAACTTGAGGCTAGCGTTTATTTTCACAGTATCTCGTATGCACATGCTGAGCCGAAAGCTGGGACAGGATGTCAAGGAGATGTGCAAGGATGTGAGGAAGGGCGACAAGGCCCGACTGAAGCTAGCCATCCAGGCAGCGCGCGGAGATTGAGTCCTCTGAAAGGACGGACATATGTTATATAGATACATATATATATATACATATATATATATACATATATATATATATATATATAATATACACGTACATACATAGTAGCAGTGTCGGTAATACGATTGGAAAGTACTCTGAACATGCGACTGTACTGCTTTGTATGATCAAGTGGCCTTTGCGCTTTGTCCAGAATGACAGCTCTTCGTCGCGGATGTTCTTGTATGGGCAGTAGCAGCAGTAGGGGAGCAGAGGGGAGCAGTAGGAGTGCTAGCAGTAAGTTTAGGGTTAACGGTTTTGAAGTATGATATGCTCTGATGCATCTGTGGAGCGCAGCAGTAAGAGGAGGAGGAGGAGGAGGAGGAGGAGGAGGAGGAGGAGGAGGAGGAGGAGGAGGAGGAGGAGGAGGAGGAGCAGGAGGAGCAGGAGGAGCAGGAGCAGCAGGAGGAGGAGGAGGAGGAGGAGGAGGAGGAGGAGGAGGAGGAGGAGGAGGAGTAACAGTCTTCACGCTGGTGAGCTCGAGACGAAGGGCGATAGGGCCAAGCAGCCGTGCAAGGAGGCCATCAGACCAAAAAACTTCGTCCTCAGGTCAGTCATGTACGGTGTTCAAGCACTGAATCGTGAGCTCGGCCACAGGCGTGGCAGTGACCTGGGTTGTTGGCATCCTTGGCAAGGTCACACGGGAGCGTTTTTTTGGCCTGGGCCGTTTCTTGTTGTCCACTTCCCGTGCATGACGCACTCACAAGGTCAAGGGGCATGCATAATTATCTGAACATATGTCTAGATATGTATGTATGTTATATATATATATATATATGTATGTATATATATATATATATATGGCTAGCACAGAAGTTCCGTATGCTCCTTGCAGATGCTGGAGCACGAACATTTGAAGTTGAAATGTTTGTCAGCTCCATGCTAGCCGGGAGGCTATGTGGCTGCCTTGCATCAGGCAAAAATCCGTCTCTCTTCTAAAGCAGAGCCAAGCTCTGTAAGCTTAACCCTAAACCCTCAACCCTCAACCCTAAACCCTACTCAGCACAGGATCATCTTGAGTTGAAAGGGGGGAGGAGTGAACTGGTGGGAGAGATTCAGTTGCCCGCAGGAGCGGTTCTTGTTTTGGTATTCGCCAGCGGGTCTCCCAGTCGTTACTTGGAGGTTCATGGTACTCAGTAACTAATTATACCTGTACTTATGTCTGTACTTATCACCATATTAGGGGCTTACAAGTGGGAAATAAGTACAGTTATCAAGAGTTACTACGTACCATGAACCTCCAAGTAGGTTTCGTGAAGTTGCACGTGCCACCTGGCCTGGAGATTCAAGCTCCAGACCCCAAAGTATCCGCCCCAACCCCCTCCCCCCCCCCCCCCAAAAAAAAAAAATGGTTTAGGGTTTAGGGTTCAGGGTTTAGGGTTAGGGTTTAGGGTTTAGGGCCGAACCCCCAAAGCTGAGGCCGGCTAAGTGGGACTTGAGAGCAGGGTTTTATTGAAGAGGTCGTTGTGGCATGCTGATGGTCTGAGAGAAGCTGGACCTTACAGAAACCCTAAACCCTAAACCCTAAACCCTAAACCCTAAACCCTAAACCCTAAACCCTAAACCCTAAACCCTAAACCCTAAACCCTAAACCCTAAACCGTTTAGGCATCTTGATGGATGAGTTTTCTGCATCGCAGAGGATGTGTCTTTGAGTACGCTGGTGCTGCAACTCTTCAGGCCTCCCAAGCGAAGCCGAACATAGCAACATCATCTTTGTTGGCCCCCACGGATTTGAACGGCCATACTCATAAATGGGTATCTTGCCCCCTCCATGCCCAACTCCCCCCCCCCCCCCCCCCAAAACACTGGAGCCAGTGCCGCGCGCCTGGATGGCACGACACGGGACGCGCAATGCTCGGGAAGCTCCGGGGGAGTGTCCTGATCTGCGTCGGCATCCTGGCCAGGGCACATGGCAGAGATGAGGCAACCCTAAACCCTAAACCCTAAACCCTAAACCCTAAACCCTAAACCCTAAACCCTAAACCCTAAACCCTAAACCCTGAACCCTGAACCCTGAACCCTGAACCCTAAACCCTAAACCCTAAACCCTGAACCCTAAACCCTAAACCCTAAACCCTAAACCCTAAACCCTAAACCCTAAAGGCCCGGCGTGGTCATGGCAGCTGCGGGGTGGGAGCACGTGGCGCTGGCCTGGGCGAGCCTCCGGACCCTCAGGGAGTTGGGCTCCCAGGTGTAGGGTTTCTTGGGATCTTTTTTTTTTTTTTTTTTTTTTTTTTTCTTTTCCCTTGTTGGGTTTAAGAGAGGCACCCAAGAATCGGTAGGGTTTCTTGGGATCCTTTTTTTTTGTCTTTTCCCTTGTTGTGTTTCTTGGGATTTTTTTGGTCTTTTCCCTTGTTGGGTTTAAGAGAGGCACATGAGGCACCCAAGAATTTCGGAGTTTCCTTTTTCCCTTTGTTGGGTTTAAGAGAGGGCACCCAAGAATTTCGGAATGTCCTTTCTCCTTTGTTGGGTTTAAGAGAGGCCTCCAAGAATGTCGGAGTCTTCTTCAGAGGCCTTTTAAGGGCCCTCCGAGGCTGCCAGTGGCCCATTGAGCTCTGGCACCTCGGGCCCGGCAGCATCACGCCGGAGGTCGCGGCGCTGTTCAGCTCCCAGCTTGACGTGGTGCCCGTGGACGCCCACGCGGCCACGCAGGCTGCCCGGCTGGAGAGCCTGAACATGCCAGGCCTCGCGCCCCCACACAGGCGGGAGGCCGAGGTGCACTGTCTCAAAGGTGACCCGCTGGCGTATCTTTGTCATAGTTGGGTAGCATTTTACATCTTTAAGGGTACTTAAACCCAATAAGGAATAAGCAAATTAGATTCTTAAGATTATCCCAACAATGAACTAGGTATGTCTTGCCGCCCGTGGCGGTGCATCTCAGCAACCTCACGCACATCTTGCTCATGTTCCCTGACTGGGTGGCCTACGAGAACGTCTGCGCGCTCTCCACCTGGAGCATGCCCAGCGGGTCCAGCGCGTTCTTCCACGCGGGGAGCGCGCGCGTGCAAGACCTGGCGTACTATCCGCGGGCCTGGTCGTCGCTCGGGATCCCCGAGCTTCTCAACGACGAGTCTTAGGGGTACTTGGGAATAATTGTTAAGTTTCGGGCACTTTAATTCCTAAGAAACAGCTAAAACTAAAACCATAATTTTTGCTAGGTCTTCAAGTTCAGTATAGGAGTGGGAGGTGGACGAGTCGGCCCTTTTCCTGGACAAGTCCCGATGCCCATCTGGTGCTTCCACGGTCCTGGAGCTGCTTGCTGTCGGTTAGTAGAGAATGAGGGAATGAGGTACCCTATATCCCCCCTATGTGTACCCTTTAAGGGATTACATAGGGCACCCTTTTAGGGATTATATAGTAGGGTGCCTCATTCCCTCATTCCCCTACGAACCAACAGTAAGGCTGGTTTCCAGCAACGCGGCGCACGCGCGGGAAGGCTGGAACGTCTCGGGCCTCCTTCCGTGCGGCACCAACGCCTACTGGCGGCCAGCTTGGGAGTTGGCAGGTCGGGGGCGGGGTTTAGGGTTTAGGGTTTAGGGTTTAGGGTTTAGGGTTTAGGGTTTAGGGTTTAGGGTCTTCAGTACGGGGGGGTGGGGCGGGGGGGGGGGGCTTCTTCTTGTTTACTCGGGGGAGGCGGTAAACTGTTGAGCCGAGCTGTTCGAGAGTTACCGAGAAGGGGGGGGGGGGATCCCCCCAGTGCCTGAGTTTCCCTAAACCCTAAACCCTAAACCCTAAACCCCAAACCCTAAACCCTAAACCCTAAACCCGAGTTTAGAGAGCGACTCCAGGTTGTGCCTGGCACTTCTCGCAGTTCCTTCCCGCCCTGGTGGGTTGGAACACGAAGGTCCCCGCGGACGACCCGACCTTCCTGGGCGGCGGACGTGGTGCCCGGGACACCCACGATGCTGGGTCGTTGTTGAAAAGTCAGTTTAGATTAGGGTTTAGGGTTTAGGGTTTAGGGTTTAGGGTTTAGGGTTTGGGGTTTAGGGCTTGGGGTACTTAAACCCAATAAGGAACAAAATGATCCTTGTAAATGATACCCCCAACACTGCTGCAGGATGGCCGCTTGCTTGGAGTACATTTCCAGTGGGCAAAGTACTACTGGCTGAGCAGGCCCTCCCCGCAGGTTCCCATACTCGTGGACAGGGCAATGCTGGACATGGATGCGACCTTGGACACAGAAGTTCCGAGATTGACCGTCCTGGGCTTTGCGAACTATCCGCACTTCCACTTCGTACAGTACGAGAACTGCAGCCGATGCTCCCTGAGAAACGTGCCGGAGCTGATCTCCGGATCTTGGCGCTTCTGGCTGGAGACCTGGTCAAGCGCCTGGAGAGAGGCCTTTACAATGGTGGCCAGCTGCCCCGAGGACGATCAGGAGTGCTGGTCGCAGGTGTGCCCCCCGAGGCCCTGCACGCTCATCGGCGTTCCATCTCGACACAACGTGGCAGACCATGAGGCGACCTCAGATGAAATGTCTGACAAAGATGCAGAGAGGAGCAAGGTGCCGAAAGCGCTTTGGGAGGAGTCCTCCGTCGAACGCGCAGAACGTGCACGCCCGTCCGCGTCGCCGCCCCCATTGCCTGGCAGCTTCGGCGAGCTCTGGGCCAATGCGGGATTTGCCAGAGTTCAGCGCTGGAGGCAACTCTTCGCGTTCTGCTGTGAGCCTCTTGACTCACAATCCGTGAGCGCTACTGGCCCGACTGAATCAGGACGTGATTTGGAGGGCTGTGATGCAAGTCGGCCCAGCACGACGGTGAGTGCACACCTCTTGGAGATCGTCGAGCTCTTTGCCTCGTGGGCCGCTCTGATCGTGACTGCCGTCGATGTGCGAGGTGGAGAGGCTGACCAGCTCACTGCTGTGGAGTTGAGAGAACACCTGGCCGCAGACCTGCAGCTGGGTAGGGAAGTTGGGGGTATTTTATGACTTTGCCCTTTCTTGGGTTAAAGAGGCCGTCCTACTTCGCAATCTTTGTCAGAGGCCTTGAAAGGGGGGCGCCCAAGCCCAGGCAGTTACTGGAAGGTCTGGCGGAGCGATTGCGGTCCAGGGACTTGCCTGCCCTGGAGCCAGAGTTGGCCCGGTTTTGGCAGGTCTTCGAAGCTTACGCTCCCAGCGTCCTTGCGGCCCTGCTACTAGGCAGGCCCTGGGTTTTTTTGTACAATTCTCCCTTATTGGGGCTAAAGAGGATCCGATTTAGGAACTTCTTGAGAGGGTTTTTTTGGGGCCATCCTAGGCTAGCTGATACTTTGGACCCCGGAGAGCTCGCGGCTGCTGTCTATGAGTTCGGCGGGCAGACGACCCTGTGGCTCAGCCTTCTCCATGGCGCCCAGATGGAGGCAGATGCTTGCACCTTGGGTGGCCCAGTGAAACCCTAAACCCTAGAGACCCTAAACCCTAAACCCTAAACCCTAAACCCTAAACCCTAAACCCTAAACCCTAAACCCTAAACCCTAAACCCTAAACCCTAAACCCTAAACCCTAAACCCTAAACCCTAAACCCTAAACCCTAAACCCTAAACCCGAAACCCGAAACCCGAAACCCGAATAGAAACTATAATTCCCCAAAATCCCTTACAAAGCTACCAAGGCGCGCCCCTGCCGCCAAGGCCGGCGCGACCGGCCAGCTTGGCGGCGGGACTGGGCCACCTGCCGCATCTGGCCCTCATCGGGCTCACGAAGCTCACGCAGGTCTAGGGTTTAGGGTTTAGGGTTTAGGGTTTAGGGTCTAGGGTTTAGGGTTTAGGGTTTAGGGTTTAGGGTACTTGTAGGGTAAGTTTCACGGGCACTTTTAATATGGTCCCTTACCTCAATTTCAAGGGCGCTGAAGCAAGGGCCCTTGGGCTGGTGCAGGGCATAGACCGCGGTATATCTGGGATCCCCTTTTAAAGGCAAGGGTTTAGGGTTTAGGGTTTAGGGTTTAGGGTTTAGGGTTTAGGGTTTAGGGTTTAGGGTTTAGGGTTTAGGGTTTAGGGTCTGCCCTATGAGATTGCAGGAGGCAGCCGAGGAAGCCGCGGCCCCGCGCCGCGGCGTCGAAGTGGGCACAAGAGTTGGCCTCTTTGCGGAGTCCCTGCTGCTTGTCATAGTTGGGAAAGATTCTACATCTTTAAGGGTACTTAAATTTTACATCTTTAAGGGTACTTAAATTTTACATCTTTAAGGGTACTTAAGCCCAATAAGGAATAAACATTCAACTTTTTTTTAGTATTATCGCAACCATGACCCAGGCTGCGGGCAGACGCGGACTTGGAGCTGCTGGTGGTGGACGCCTGGGAGCACGCCACTTGGTCATAGTTGGGTAACACTTTACATCTTTAAGGGTACTTAAAACCAATAAGGAATAGAAATTTAAGTCTTTAATACGATCCCCCAATAAGGAATAGAAAATTTAAGTCTTTAAATGCGATCCCAACCATAAAACGAGGTCACGGACTCCTACAAGCAGCATCCCACCGAGAGGGAAGAGAACGACTTCGCGTCGAACGCGTCCGCCGAGGCAGCTTGGAGGCGACTGTCGCCCCTGCGTCCTCGCATTCACCTCATGACCGGCGACAGCCTCGCGGCCAGCTCTTGGATCAAAGAGGGCTCCCTGGACCTGGTGTTTCTAGGTCATAGTTGGGTAACATTTTACACTTTTAAAGGTACTTAAACCCAAAAAGGAATAAACATTTACATTTTTAATATTATCCCAACAATGACCTAGGTTTCTGGATGCTGACCACAGCTACGAGGCCGTGAAAGCCGACCTTGCTGCGTGGGCGCCCAAGCTGAAACCGGGAGGCTTGCTCAGTGGACATGACTACAACAGCGCCTTCCCCGGGGTCGTCCAGGCCGTGCGGGAGTTCATGGCAGCGGGAAACCGCGAGTTTTGGTTGGGACCCGACTCGCTGTGGTTCACTCTCCTGTGACATCCTACGACATCCTGTGACTCCTCTGTCATAGTTGGGTAACATTTTGCCGTTTTAAGGGTACCTAAGCCCAATACGGAATAAATATGTTATTTCTAAATATTCTCCCAACAATGACCTAGACTCTGCAACCGGAGAGCAGGAGCTCCTGGGAAGTGGCTCGGGGCACATCATGGGCCGGCCAAGTGCCAAGATCAGGCCCGCTGCCGGTGGCCTCTTCATCGAAACCTTGACGAACTATTGAACTGGCCCAGATCCCCTGCTCCTTCCACATGAAGCTGGAGAAGAAGAGCCACGCCCTCCTCTCGAAACCCAGTGTGGAGGTTTCCGAAAATTAGGGTACCCTTTTCGCGGGGTCGCTTTTGTCGCCTGCAAGGGAGCCGGGCTCATTTGGGCACCAGCAACGTGGCCGACCCAATTGCAGATGCATCACGGCGCGCTTTTGGACGCGCTTCACCAGACTTCGTGTGGGCAGTTCTCGAAAATCGGGCACCTTATACAAACCCTAAACCCTAAACCCTAAACCCAAAACCCTAAACCCACCCTAAACCCACCCTAAACCCTAAACCCTAAACCCTAAACCCTAAACCCTAAACCCTAAACCCCCAAAACGGAAACCCCCAAAAAGGGCCTCATGTTCTGACACATGATGACTGTGTCCATGTCAGCTTCACGAGGAGACAGGTTCGGGGACCTAAACCTTGCCTTCCGGCTGTCAGATTCTGCACACGAAGTTGCAATTTCATTCTTTTTATCTATGTGTAGACAAAAACCTAAAGATAAATAGAAATACAATAAATAGATAAATAAAAATATATACACATGAACATGAGTGTATGTGTACAAATTTGTGAGAATATAATCTCACATACAATATTATACCACTATTGTTATACAGCAGCATTAAGAAGAGACAAAGACTATATAGTCGTAATGTATGTATGTATATTTAGATTTGCCAATACATAATCAGTCTATCAACATATTCAAGAACAAAAATCAGGAAACATTGCTATGTCGAGCAATGTGTAATATATTGCAGTCCACAGTAAAAATACTTGGATCAATAGCATAGAAAAGCCGAATAACTTTTGGCATAATGCTATTATAATCTCAAATGTGTATATATATATATATGTGTAGATGTGTACATCTACAACTGTCGGTTATATCTTAGATCCTTACAAGATGTTAATAAAGTTCGTATTGTTGCATTATTCTTGTTCATACATGATTTGTAGATGTGTGTATACATATATGTATATATATATATATGTGTGTGTATTACTGTTGTTGTTATCATTCTAAGTAGTAGTAGGTTCTATTGTTACTATTCGCAGGTTGTATTGTATTAAATGGATTCCTTATATTGCAGGTTCTGATTGCCAGGGAAGATGAGAGTCACGCATCTGGCCTAAGAGACGAGATGATGAGACAGCACGACGCTGAAGCAAGTCTGTGTTCATCAACCAGTTAGCTTTCAAACCAGCTGTCTTGTGAACAACGCTCTCACTTCATGTTGCTGATTGTTGTTTGCAGTCATTCCAACCATGAAACTCGGCAAGAGCAATAAGACTATCTTTACATGTAGTGGCACATGCGTGCCTTCAATGGCGCCTGTTTTGCTGTGCTTGCTCGTCAGCTGCTCGCGCAGTTCCCTTCTGAACACACCGTGAAGGGCCGTGATGTCTGTGTGGGAGGTAGCCAATACTCCAACGCTACGCCGTCCTTGCGCTTCTGCAATTGCCAGGGCCGAGCGGATTGCCAGTCACAGGTGGCATTGCTAGTGCTTTTGCTGTTTTCAAGTTCAGCGCGAAGTTATGAAGGCTCGGATAGTGGTGATTTTTCAGCTTGCTGCAGGTGTTGGTGCGGCTATCCGGCATTGCTACGGGTCCAGAACCCTGGATACACGGGAATGTCATGGAGATTAACGTTTCAGAAGATCTTTGGTCCTCGCGCCGTTTCCACGTTCAAGAGGCCCGGTTAATTCAAAAAACTAGGACTCGGACGCAATGTTTCCCGGAAACCTGCCTGTCCCTCTTAGGATAGTTACTTAACATGGGCCCCTGGTTGGGGTAACCTTTTGTCATTAGAATACCCTTGTAGGTACAGGGTTCCCTTTCATACCCCTTTTTCATACCTTAATGCCCCTAAAAGTACCTCAGTACCCCTGATAATACCCCTTATCGTACCCCTTATAGTTCCCCTTACAGACCCCTTGAAATACGCTAATACCCCTTACATGCCCCTATAAGCTCCCCGTCAGCAGGACTCGTCCGAGTTTATCGAGCCCACGGGGGTAGCAGCGTATGCATTCATCTCAGAAGGCATGGGTCTTGGCACCTTAGCATCGGGTGTCTACGCCACTCTGGCCGGCTACGTGGGCGAATCGGGATCCTACCCGCTGGACCTCGTGCGTTTCGTCACGAGCTCGCCTGGAACAGGATTCCAGACGTCGGAGATATCCGAAATCCATGCCTGCAAGCAGAATGATGAGAAGGCTCCGTATGTGGGAGAAGGGGATGCTGATGGCAACGAGTTCGACAACTTGTTCGGTCAGGATGCACCCAACGTCAGTGACGGGCCAGGAGCACCGTACCAGCCTCCTACGGAGGTCTTCTGTGGCAAGGAGCTTACAATCAGCCCTCGTCGGGCCAAAGTGAGCATCTATGGCTATACGTGGGGGAGCAAGTGGGCAGACGACATCAGTGGCCAGTATTTCTTCTACCGCGTGCGCCTCTGCTTTCACCGCATCCAAAACTGGTACATCAACCAAGCACAGCGCGGGGAAGGCCCCGGCTCACCACCATCCTACACTATCACGGCAGCATAGACAATCATACATGGTTATGTGCCTATGCCTATATAATGATACGTGTATGATTCTATCTGATTATATTTGGTTACGTAGTTGTGAATGTACATGATCAGACATGATTACAACAATTTGTTAGACATGGTTATATATATATATATATATATGGCGATGGGTACATACTTCTCATAAGTCTGATAAGATGTGATTATTGCATTCTTCGGAACGTCCTATATCATTAACTGTTCACTGTTTTAAATACAAGTTAACCATGAGTTAACCCTAAACCCTGGGCCCTGGACCCTAGACCCTAAATCCTGTATCAACTCTGTTTCGTATGGGTAGTTCTCTCAATTCGGGGTCCCTGTCGGAGGTCCTCCCTTTAAGGGCGCCGTACTGTATATATATATATGTACATGTATATATATATATATCTATATATATATATATCTATATATATATATATATATATCTATCTCGGACCCCAAAAGGGACCCTAAGCAAGAGAGCTACACGCATCAGGGAACTGGAGAGCCTTGAGTTCTTGTGATGCGAAAGCCGCAGAACAGCCGTGTAACGACTCAGAAGTTCGCGGAAGCCGCAGAGCCCCCCAAACCCGAAACCCTAAACCCCCAAACCCGAAACCCCCAAACCCGAAACCCTAAACCCCAAACCCTAAACCCTAAACCCTAAACCCTAAACCCCTAAACCCCTAAACCCCTAAACCCTAAACCCCTAAACCCTAAACCCTAAACCCGAAACCTCAAACTCAAAGCAGCTTCCCTGTAGGTATTCTGGGCACGGACCAGCAAGTGGAGGTCTTGGACTTCCAGCAGGAAGCCGTGCTCTAGACGATTCAGGCTTTGGGGGTTTATAGGGTTTAGGGTTTAGGGTTTAGGGTTTAGGTTTAGGATTTAGGGTTTAGGGTTTAGGGTTTAGGGTTGAGGGTTGAGGGTTGAGGGTTGAGGGTTTAGGGTGGTCGTTTGGGGTCTAGGTTGCGCAGACGGCGCTCGCGCGCCTGTCTGGTGGGAGCTTCGATCCGTCTTTGACGAGAATCCTGCATCCCGGGTCTTGCCTTCCCCCGCACCCCCCCTCCCAAGAATAAAGCAAAGCAGCCTCTGATGTGTTATACCTCTGAGGTCCCTCTTCTTTTTTGGAAGGGGCGGGAGGGGCGGGGATTCGGAGACCCTAGGGATGACTTTTGAGGGTTCAGGGTTTAGGGTTTAATGTTTAATGTTTAGGGTTTATGGTTTAAGGTTTAGCGTGGCCGCAGGACGGTGGTGGGACTTTCGCCTACTGGCTTCCGAAGTTCTACTGGACAGGCGCCAATGACTGGGGCGTGGTGTCAGGTGTTTTTACGGGCCGCTGCCGGCACCCAGGGCTTTCCTTCTTGAACCCTAAACCCGAAGGTCCCCTAAAGTCCCCTAAAGTCCCCTACAGTCCCCCAAAGTCCTCTACAGGGCCCTAAAGTCCCCTAAAGTCCCCTACAGTCCCCTAAAGTCCTCTACAGGGCCCTAAAGTCCCCTAAAGTCCTCTACAGTGCCCTAAAGTCCCCTAAAGTCCTCCTAAAGTCCCGTCCCTAAAGCCCAAAGGCTTTGAACCGGAAGACTCCTAAGAAAGTAGAGTCACTTCGAGGTTCATGGTTTTTTCGTGCCCTAATTCGGGTTGCAGGTATAGTTACCATGCCTATGACCCTACTTATGCAGGGTTTACGAAATTAGGGGTACCTTATTGGAGTTCTTATTATAAGGCCCCCTTATGGTCATCAACCCCCAGCACCTACCCATAAACCTCCAGGACAGTCTCCGTGCTCAGAGCGCAAGACGCCCTAAACCCTCGTATCATGTGGCTCGTTCTCTACATCAGGGGTCCCTTCTCTTGTCCTTGTTATACGTGTGCCGTACGCTAATCTAGGGGACCCACAAAGGGACCTTAGTGAGAACTACCCATGTTGGTGGTTACGTTGGTGATGATTACTTGATTGTTCTGGTTGCTTTTGCGATGGTCATCGTTGTAGTTGCTGTTGTTGTTATTGTTACTGCTGAAGCTATTGTTAGTACTTTTTGCACTGTCATTGGTGTTATCGTGACTGTTATTGTTGATCTTGCCATTGCTGTCACTATTGTTCTTGTTGTTGCTGATGTCCTCCTTGTTGTTCTTGTTTTTCTTCTTGTTCTTGTCATGTTTGTTTTGTTATCATGGCCATTACCGTTTTCATGTTGCTATTATTTCTTTCTTGCTACTCTTCCTAATTTGCACCAAAAGTATGTTAATAGTTGGAAAGCAACACAACATATTCGTTTGGATTATATTCTTGCCCAGTGTCAGAATTTCTAGTCTGATAGTTCTCTGTACTTGTGCGCGTAGCTGTTGTTATTTGTATTGTTTGGGTACTAACAGTCCTTAATAGGGATTATAATCGGGGCTACTATAATCCCTATTAAGGACTGTTAGTATAGGGGGAACCTAAACCCTAAACCCTAAGCCCTAAGTCCTAAACCCTAAACCCTAAACCCTAAACCCTAAACCCTAAACCCTAAACCCTAAACCCTAAACCCTAAACCCTAAACCCTAAACCCTAAACCCTAAACCCTACACCCTAAACCCTAAACCCTAAACCCTAAACCGTAAACCGTAAGACCTAAACCCTCGGATAAGGGGGGACATGCCAGGCAACCACTTGAACTGCACCTTCGGCGATCTCCTCTGGGGCTTCCCGACGCTTGACAGCCTAGGGTTTAGGGTTTAGGGTTTAGGGTGTAGGGTTTAGGGTTTAGGGTTTATGGTTTAGCTTGAAGCGCCCAGGCGCGGACCCTGAATTGAGAGAACCCAGTCGCCATAGTGCTACCATTGTCATTGCCACTTGGCTTGCCACAACCACGACCATGTCTACCACCCTAAACCCTAAACCCTAAACCCTCAACCCTAAACCCAAAACCCTAAACCCAAAACCCTAAACCCTAGACCCTAGACCCTAGACCCACTACATGGACCTGCCGGTCAGGAAGTGGGATTGCCCGATGGGCAAGTTCGGCGCCGTTCATGTCACTGCAACCGATGCAGGCTGGCACAAGCCCAACTGTGGATGTAGGGTTTAAGGGTTTTTTGAGGGTTTTTTTTTGAGGGTTTAAGGGTTTAGGGTTAGGGAGGGTTTAGGGTTTAGGGTTTAGGGTTTAGGGTTTAAGGGTTTAAGGGTTCTAGGGTTGAAGGTTTTTAGAGTTTAAGGCCTGGGGTGTGCTGTGACATGGCGCAGAAGTTGTGGAGGTTAGAGGAGAGAGACGCATGAAAAGTGCTTTGCAATGTTGGTGGTGGCAGTTCTCGCCCGACTATGGAAGGCCTTCAAACGCAATCCTAGGGTTTAGGGTTTGGGGTTTAGGGTTATAGGGTCTAGGGTTTCACCCCACGCCGTCTAACCCCTTCCCCTTAATATTAAACCCCCCCGCCATACCCCCTGATGAGCCGCACCAACCCATTCTTTTTGGGGTGTAGAAGCTCAGCCTCCATTTGCCGGAAGGTTTTTTCCATTGCGTCCGCATCAGGAATGAGTAATGGCAAAACGGAAGAACCGCCGCAGGCGGTCCTCAGGGGATTTTTCCAAAGGTGCATCCAAGAGACCGGTAGAGGTCTTTAGGGTTTGGGGTGTAGAGTTCAGGGTTTAGGGTTTTGGGGGGTTCATGATTTAGGGCTCAGGGTCAACTCTTCTCGTAGGATGTGCCTCTCGCGGCGTGATGAGAAGAGCAGCCACATGACCTGGTCACTGGCACACGGCATGTATTGAATGATGCAGGCGGACCATCTATGATACTGCTCTGCAGGGTTTAGGGTTTAGGGTTTAGGGTTTAGGGTTTAGGGTTTAGGGTGTAGGGTGTAGGGTGTAGGGTGCTGCTGAACGAGCTTCTTCGAAGCTTAGGGTCGCCCTCGAGCTGCTGCACTCGTTGCCCGGGCCTCGCTCTGTCAATGTCGATCGGCTTGACGTTCAACTCCTCGGCTCCGTGTTTAGGTTTAGGGTTTAGGGTTTAGGGTTTAGGGTTTAGGGTCTCCTTCAAGCCGTGTCGAAGTTCTCCGACCACGCGTTCGCAGAAGCGACCTCCCCTAACTTCCCCCGCACGACCCAAAATAAGGTCCAACCAAGGAACCCGAAACCCTAAACCCTAAACCCTAAACCCTAAACCCTGAACCCTAAACCCGAAACCCAAACCCGTTGCTCGAAGCCCTACGACGCTTCCACTGCGTGGAAGGCGCTGCCTGCAGCGGAGAGGGAACTGAGGGCGTGGTCTTGAACATCGGTGCCGGCCTAAGGTGGGGGTGTGTAGGGGGGGGCAAACCCTAAACCCTAAACCCTAAACCCTAAACCCCAAACCCTAAACCCTAAACCCTAAACCCTAAACCCTAAGCCCTAAACCCTAAACCCTAAACCCTAAGCCCTAAACCCTAAGCCCTAAACCCTAAACCCTAAGGGCCGGTAAGGGTTGGGGGGGGGGGGGGGGGGGGGGGGGGGTTGCGGAGGAGGTAGTGGGAGTCAGGGGGTTTGGGGTGTAGGAGCCTTGCTGATTGGGGGTTCACGGGACCCTGTGAGTTGTGGTTTAGGGTTTGGGGTTTAGGGTTTAGGGTTTAGGGTTTAGGGTTTAGGGTGATAGAGCAAAAATCCCAAACATGCCAAACGCCAAACCTGAAGCAACCGAAGCCGAAGACTCTAAGTCCACCCCTGCACCCCTAAACCCTAAACCCTAGACCCGAAACCCTAACCCTAACCCTAAACCCTAAACCCTAAACCCTGAACCCTGAACCCTGAACCCTGAACCCTGAACCCTAAACCCTAAACCCTAAACCCTAACCCTAAACCCGAAACCCTAACCCAAACTCAGGATTCGACCTGGACCATGTCGGGACGAAGGACCAGCGAGAATTCCCGGGCTTGGTTGATGTTGCGGGCGTCCACGGAGCCCTAAACGAAGCCTTAGGCCCTACTAAAAAAACTCGTGATACGTAGTAACTAACTTAGCTGTACTTACAACCCACTTACAAGCCCCTTAAGTGTCCTCATATGGTTAGAAGTACAGTTAGTATTATGTAGTTACTAAGTCCATGAACCTCCATAAGGAACTCCCAAGGCTAGGGAAGCCTCGACCTAGGCCAGCCCTTGGCTAGGCCTTGCCAAGTACACCCCACAATTTATGAGGAAGCAAGGCTGCCTTTGCGATGGCCAGGACAGATGGTTCATGTACAGCATGGAGGTGCGCCTGCAATCGTAGAATCCTTAAATCCTGAACCCTGAACCCGAAACCCAAAACTCCTCACCGCAAAACCCTAAACCCCGAACCCTAAACCCGAAACTCCTGACCTCAGAACCCTAAACCCTAAACCCTAAACCCTAAACCCTAAACCCTAAACCCTAAACCCTAAAGCCTAAAGCCTAAAGCCTAAACCCTAAACCCTAAACCCTAAACAAGCTCTTAGTACATGGCCACCGAAGTTTGCAGGGTACACCGTGTGCCTGAAGAAGCGGGGGCGATTCCAGAAGAGAACTGAAGCCTGAGTCCGGAAAGCCCTAGACCCTAAACCATAAACCCCAAACCCTAAACCCTAAGCCCTCAACCCTATAACCTAAACCCTAAACCCTAAACCCTCAACCCTAAACCCTAAACCGCCTATCTTAAGAACCAGACATCTACTTTTTTTCGCAGGTTGTTACTCTAAAACCCCTTATAGGGTTCTTAGAGAACCTACAAAAAGTAGGTTTCGGGTCCTTAAGGTAAACTAGGTTTCGACCGGACAACGTGTTCCAACTCCTTGACGAATTGCTGAAAATACGACAGGCGCGTGCGTACTTTGAAGCCTGTATGCATCTTTCCATGGACTCGCAAAAGGTGGCGGGTCGAGGGTTCAGGGTTTAGGGTTTTTGCGTTAGAAACTTGAGAAGCCCTAAACCCCTAAATCCTGAACGGAAAGCCCTAAACCCTGAGGGCTAGAACCTAAACCCTAAACCCTAAGCCCGAAACACTAAACCCGAAACCCTAAACCCTAAACCCTAAACCCTAAACCCTAAACCCTCAACCCTAATCCCTAAACCCTAAACCCCAACCTGGGAGGTGAACTTATCGGGCTCCGTGACCTTCGCCGTGGTCGGTGCGGCGGAGCGTCTCAAGCCGCTGGGCACTCGGGGGAGGGGTTTAGGGTTTAGGGTTTGGGGTTAGGATCTAGTTTTTAGGGTTTAGAGTTTAGGGTGTAGGATTTAGGGGTTTCGGGTTTAGGGCTTGGGGTTTGGGGTTGAAGGTTCGGGGTTTCGGCTTCTTGGTCTCTGGGGGTTTTCGAGTTTGGGGTGCAGGGAGTTGGGGTTTCGGATGTTCAGGGGGTTGAGGTTTTCGGAGGAAAAGGCTCTCGGCCGGTTTCGGGTTTAGGGTTTAGGGTTTCGGGTTTAGGGTTTAGGGTTTAGGGTTTAGGGTGACAGAGAGCGCCCAGACGAAGCCCCCAAACCCCAATGTGTGCTGTGAGGCTGCTGCTCGCCCCTGTGTGCCTTGTGCTCCTGTTCCTCCAGCTCTGAGACTGCGGACTTGCCACGGTTGAGCGTTTAGGAAGTTTAGGAAGTTCAGGAAGTTTAGGAAGTTTAGGAAGTTTAGGGAGTTTAGGGAGTTTAGGGAGTTTAGGAAGTTTAGGGAGTTTAGGGAGTTTAGGGAGTTTGGGGAGTTTAGGGAGTTTAGGGTTTAGGGTTTAGGGTTTAGGCGTAGCAGAAGTCAGGAAAGACGTGGGCAATTCAGCTGGCTGCTGGTTTCCGACATCCGGAGAAAGTGCTTGCCAAGCTCCTCAAAGCAGCCCTAACCCCTAACCCCTAACCCCTAAACCCTAAACCCTAAACCCCAAACCCTAAACCCTAAACCCTAAAGGGAGTCGGGATTTCGAGGGGAATCCCAGCCATGCCCAGAATTTGACCAGCGCATGAGGAGGGAACGCAGGGGCACTTGGAGGTCCATGGTACTTAGATAACCCACTTATAAGCCCCCTAAGTGCCGCAATACGGTCATAAGTACAGTTATAGGTACAGTTATAGGTACAGTTATAGGTACAGTTATAGGTACAGTTATAGGTACAGTTATAGGTACAGTTATAAGTACAGTTATAAGTACAGTTATAGGTACAGTTATAAGTACAGTTATAGGAACAGTTATAGGTACAGTTATAGGTACAGTTATAGGTATAATTGGTTGCTAGGTACCATGAACCTCCAAGCAGGGAATCCTTGGCCTTCCAACTCGGGAGCCCGCAGCTGCGAGTGGCGAGAGGTAAGGTAATGGGGTTTATAGGGTTTATAGGGTTTGTAGGGCTTATAGGGCTTATGGGGTTTATGGGGTTTATAGGGTTTATAGGGCTGAAAGGGTTTATAGGGTTTATGGGGCTTATGGGGTTTATGGGGCTTATGGGGTTGGGTTTATAGGGTTTATAGGATTTATAGAGTTTATCTAGGAAGGCCCTTGGGACATGTTAGGTTTTCCCTTCCTGGGTTTGTAGAGGATGATCTTCAGGAACATTCTTCAGATGGTTGCTTTATCAGGGCCATCCTAGCGTAGCTCAGGCACAGGATCCAGTGCAGCTGGGTTTCCAAAAACCAGGTGCAAGCCGCGCACCTCCCTGATGGCAGGGGGCAGCTGCGAATGCCTTCGAGTTGGGGCTTAAAGCTTCTGTGTTGTCAGGGTTTAGGGTTTAGGGTTTAGGGTATAGGGTTTAGGGTTTAGGGCTTAGGGTTTAGGGTTTAGGGTGGCCAAAGAAAGGAAGCAGGCCCGAGCGCAGGTGTACTCAAAATGAAGCGACCACCCCCCCACCCTCTGCCATCAGAAGCGAGCACCTCACGTGTCACCCCATGCAGTGCAGAGCCCCAGCATAGGTGTATAGGGACTGGAGTAAGGACTACATATATATATATATAGATATGGGGTATATAGGGGAAAAAGATTAAGGGTCCCTTCTAGGGGTCCATCCTTATATCCCTTAAAAGGTATGCAGCCCAAACCACGGGCCTACTTGTATTGTAGCCCGTCTCATTGCCATGCCCTGCACTTTCTACGACATCTTGCTCTCTCTTTCAAGAAGAGTGGCAAAACAGGCGTGCTGCACATCATGGGCATTCCTGCGTTTAGGGTTTAGGGTTGAGGGACCCTTTCCCCCCAGAAAACACGGTAGAGTCAACCCTAAACCCTAAACCCTAAACCCTAAACCCTAAACCCTAAACCCTAAACCCTAAACCCTAAACCCTAAACCCTAAACCCTAAACCCTAAATGTGGTCCCTGTCGGAAGGCCCAGCAGCCCCCCAGATGTGTCAAGGGAGAACTTCGCTTAGCTTCTTAGTCGTAGAGTAGGCAACCTTCACCTTTTGGGGTACTCTAGTCCCTACAACCCTAAACCCTAAACCCTAAACCCTAGGCCCTAAACCCTAAACCCTGAGCCCTAAACCCTAAAGCACACATGTACAGATGTGGATAGTGTCGAAGCCCTTACTCCCGCTGGCGGCTCAAGGAGCTGGCGTTCTCAAGTCATGGTTTGAGAAGTGTTGAAGCAGAGTGCCCCAACCCCTAAACCCGAAACCCGAAACCCTAAACCCTAAACCCTAAACCCTTCTTCAGTCTACAATAGAAAACATTGAGCGCAGCTTTCCCCCCCTCCGGATCACCCCTAAACCCCTAAACCCCTAAACCCCTAAACCCCTAAACCCCTAAACCCCTAAACCCCTAAACCCCTAAACCCCTAAACCCCTAAACCCCTAAACCCCTAAACCCCTAAACCCTAAACCCTAAACCCTAACCCTAAACCCTAAACCCTAAACCCTAAACCCGAAAGCCATGCTGGACTGGCTGGATGCGGGGCCACTCGACTACGGCAGCCTTACGGGGGCCTTTGCTCCCTGGGCTCGGGGCACCGGGTCGGATGCGCAGGCGAAGATGTCGGTCCCCAAAAAGTTTAGGGTTTAGGGTTTAGGGTTTAGGGTGTAGGGTCTAGGGTTTAGGGTTTAGGGTTTAGGGTTTTGGGTTTAGGGTTTAGGGCCCTAAACCCTAAATCCTAAACCCTAAACCCTTAGTTACTAAGTACCATGCACCTCCAAGTGAACCCTAGTGCCTGTGACGCTCGCTTCGGCAGGTTTCGGATGACCGGAGCCCGACATCGGACAGCGACACTGATGGGTCGCCTGCACCTGAGGCTCCCCGCGCAGTTTTTTTGGGGGTTTAGGGTTTAGGGTTTAGGGTTTAGGGTTTAGGGTTTAGGGTCAGTTACGGTCTCGTTGGGGTTCCTCTGAGAACGTCGTACTTGTACTTAAGGTATCCGAGCGTCCCAAAAGGGACCATCCTTTTGGAGTACTGGCCACGCGCTTTTCACTATTGGAGGCAACCCTCTTAGACCGCACCCAAAGAGCCCAATACCCCTTTAAAGAAGCAAGAGCATGCCTTAGATCAGAAGAAGGTCCCTATGATGATGTAAGGTATATTCCTAAAGTGTACATATATATATATATATAAGGGTCTTGGGCTCCAAACCCCAAACCCTAAGCCCTAAACTCTAAGCCCTGAAACCCTAAACCCTAAACCCTAATCCCTAAGCCCTTAACCTTAAACGCCCCAAACCCTAAACCCGGGACCCTAAACCCTCAACCCCAAACCCTAGCAGCCTCAGGAGGCCGCCAAGAAGGCGGCTGCCCAGGCGCCTGCGGCAGGACCTGGGCAGGAGCGGCTGAAATCCTCTTTGGGAGCCCCAAGAACATGGATTAGGGTTTGGGGTTTGGGGTTTAGGGTTTGGGGGTTTGGGGTTTAGGGTTTGGGGTTTGGGGTTTAGGGTGTAGGGTTTCGGGTTTAGGGTTTAGGGTTTGGGGTTTAGGGTTTAGGGTTTCTGGTCCGGGGATGCTTGATTCTTTTTGCATATTTTTGTGGCGGCCGGGTGTAAGCACAGAAGTTGTTAACTTTCAGTTTGGGCCCTCCCCAGAATCGTTGCACATCTTGCTTGCTTTTGAGGGTTTTAGGGGTTTAGGGGTTAAGAGGTTAGGATTTTCGCTGTCAGGCCAGATCCTCTCTGGATCAAGTTCGCAGAAAATGGGGGGGGGGGGGTGGCCGAATGTAGGCGTACCCTTATCGGGTAAAGGATTATGGCATTTTGGGGGCTTCTTTGTCTAGAAGTTCAAAAAGGCCTAAACCCTAAACACTAAACCCTAAACCCTAAATCCTACAGCCTAAGCCCTAAACCCTCCGCACTTTCGTGCATCTGCGCCTTCATTTCTTGAACCCCACGTCTGAGCGACAGCTGTATTCCACGTGGGGGTTGATCGCAATGTTGGGCCCTCTTTGGGGTTTAGGGTTTAGGGTTTACGGTTTGGGGACATAGATCCCTTATAGCTTTGGGGCTCAACATTTTCTGATCAACCCCTCCGCGTGCACACAATCGCTTGTCAATACTCCCGTAGAGCGGTTTAGGGTTTGGGGTCTATAGCAGCAATCTCCTCGCCAAGTTGCCCCAAACCCTCAACCCTCAACCCTCAACCCTCAACCCTCAACCCTCAGCCCTCAACCCTCAACCCTCAACCCTCAACCCTCAACCCTCAACCCTCAACCCTCAACCCTCAACCCTCAACCCCAAACCCGAAACCCTAAACCCTAAACCCTCAACCCTCAACCCCAAACCCGAAACCCGAAACCCTAAACCCCAAACCCCCCAAACCCCCCAAACCCAACCGCCGGGTTGGCACCGCAATGCCTACAACCCTGAACACCAAACTTCTCGCGACGCAGGAGGTGCGCCAACGTCGCCGCCTGCTGCCCGAGTGGTTAAAGAGAACTGCTCCGTCTGAGGAGGAGGAGGTCCTTGTCTTACTGTTTTGAGTCAGTGCTTCGGGAATGAGGTTGCCTATGTGATCCTTGAAAGGATTATGGGGTTACAATTCAAGAACTCGCCCCTTGACGAGTCAAACAACTTTTGCAGATAGAGCACAAGCCCAGACAGTTCTAGCCAGGCTGATCGCAACAGACCATGACTGGGGATGTTCCCCCTTAGAATAACAGTCCTTAATAGGGATCCAAATAGGGGGTATCATAATCCCGTTTAAGGACTGTCAGTATGAGGGGAACATCCCGAACCGTGACCTTTCAAAGGGTCCAGCGCAGTGATCGCCACCATGAGGGGGTTTCCGAAATTAGAGTTTAGGTTTAGGGTTTAGGGTTTAGGGGAAATCAGGGGTACCTTATTGGGGCCCTTGTTATCTGAGAACCCTACTATTTGGGGGTTCTATTTTTTAGGGGTCCCCAAGTTTTCGTTAAACCCCCGTAGCTCAGTCAGACTCACCATAGAAGGCCATATGGCAGCTTTGAAATCCATGCCAGCCATGGCCGCCACCCGTATAATTCCCCTAGTCCTAAACCCGAAACCCTAAACCCTAAACCCTAAACCCCAAACCCTAAACCCTAAACCACAACTGCTTTCCTCGGCTGGAGGCCTTGTCCGCCACCCCCCAGACCTGCACTTCCACCGACGGCTCGGAGGCTCTGGGTTTGCGGGGGGTTCAGTGGCGTTGGCTTAAGGTTTAGGGGATAGGGTTTAGGGTTTAGGGTCTAGGATTTAGGGTTTAGGGTTTAGGGCCATGAATTCCTTCTGTCCTGAGTTTGTTTCTAGGTTTGCACCGCCTTCTGAAGTTGGAGCTAGATTTCCTACTGTTGCCAAGAGAAGACGGCCTAAACCTTAAACCCGAAACCCCATAAGCTATAGGAGGTTTGGAGTTTGAGGGCTCTTAGAAGCCCCAAGCCCTAAGACCCAAGCAGCCTACAGAAAGCCCAAACTTCAAACCCCAAACCCCAAACCCCAAACCCCAAACCCCAAACCCCAAACCCCCAAACCCCAAACCCCAAACCCAAAACCCCAAACCCCAAACCCCAAACCCCAAACCCCAAACCCTAAACCTTAAAGGCCCAAAACTTAAAATCCCATACCCCAAACCCCAAACCCTAAACCTTAAAGGCCTGAAGCTTAAGACCCCACACCCCAAACCCCAAACCCTAAACCTTAAAGGCCTAAAACTTAAGACCCCACACCCCAAACCCCAAACCCTAAACCTTAAAGGCCTAAAACTTAAGACCCCATACCCTAAACCCCAAACCCCAAACCCAGACCACCAAGGCCTTGCTTTGGCATCCCTGTGCAAAAAAGGGTTTAGGGTTTAGGGTTTAGGGTTTAGGGTTTGGGGTTTAGGGTTTAGGGTTTAGGGTTTAGGGTTTGGGGTTTAGGGTTTAGGGTTTAGGGGGTTTGGGGTTTGCAGTTTCGGGTTCCCTTTTGCCCTAAACATCAGGGCGCAGGGCTCGTAGATTTATAGGGTGTGTACTTCCACTCTCAGTGCCGGGATGCTAGGCTTTCGCCCTAACTCCGGGTTCTGCAGGGAGGGGGGGGGGGGGGTTACCTAGAAAACCTTCGGAAAGCTTAGGGAGCCTTAGGGAGCCTGTGCGGAGTAGTTGGGAACCTTGCGTTACCAAACCACCCCTTGAAAACCCCCCCCTCCCTCAAGAACCCTGCAACAAAAGAACAAGACAAGCTTAGGATGTGGGGTGATAAGTATACCAACCATACGTACAACCTTGCTTGTAGCTCCTCATGAACCTCCTCCTGCCCACGGGAGGTGCACATCAGCGGGCCCCTCATCCGAGTAGCTTGGCTGAAGCGCGTGCCGTCGCGAAGTTGAACCTCCAAGCTCTAAGCCACCTAAACACCCCCCTGACAACATCCCAACCCCCTGACCCCTGACCCCTGACCCCTGACCCCTGACCCCTGACCCCTGACCCCAAACCCCAAACCCCAAACCCAAAACCCCCAAACCCCGAACCCCAAACCCCAAACCCTAAACCCTAAACCCTGAACCCCATCCTTGAGCCCCGAAAACCCTGGGGAACCCCGCATTTTACCCTAAACCCTAAACCCTAAACCCTAAACCCTAAACCCTAAACCCTAAACCCTAAACCCTAAACCCTAAACCCTAAACCCTAAACCCTAAACCCTAAACCCTAAACCCTAAACCCTAAACCCTAAACCCTTGCAGGTAAAGGGCTGGTGGCGCAAGGGCCCGCGCTTCGACCAGCGCTTTGCGGAGATTCGGAGCCGGGGCGGAAGGTTCGGAGAAAGTTCCGGGGCTTTGGTGGGGTTTAGGGTTTAGGGTTTAGGGTTTAGGGTTTAGGGTTTAGGGTTTATGTGCTTTTTTAGCGGGGGGCTCATTAGGGGCTTAGGGGTTTAGAGGCATCGGTGATTCTTAGGGGGTTTGGGGGTGCAGAAGCACACATGACGAGCCCACAATACCCTTTAACTCAGGGCTTTGGGCACCATAACTTCAAGACAGCTGTTTAGGGTTTAGGGTTTTAGGGTTTAGGGTTTAGGGTTTAGGGTTTAGGGGAAACCCAACACCCACATCGCGGTGCCGAGAGTTTCTGGCCTAAGCAGTCTCCTTACAAAGGACTGGCGAACACAGCCAGATCGAGCTGACCTGGATCCCCGGCTTACACTTTGGGCTTTTGCGTTAGGGTTTAGGGTTTAGGGTTTGGGTTTAGGGTTTACATTTTAGGGTTTAGGGTTTAGGGTTTATCAAGGGCTTCAGACTGGTACCCCCCTGAGGTTGTACCCCTAAAGGTTCCCTTGACATACTCCTCATATGGCCCCTTGCATTTTCTGAGGGATCCTGCAAGAGGGACCCCAAAATGCAAGGGTACAACCTTAGGGGTCCAAGGTAGAACCCCTTAGATCAGAGGGGTCAGCGGCCTAACGAACTCAGGAGCTTATAGGCTTCTAGCCGTTTGGGATCGGGGTGCAGGAAGTCGCTTGGCTTAGCTTGGGTGCCTACAGGTGACTGCGATATCAGCAAGGACAGCAGCACCACCGCCTTAGACCCTAAACCCTAAACCCCAAACCCTAAAGCCTAAAGCCTAAACCCTAAACCTGTGCTGGACCTCATCCCAAATGTCTAGTCTCTCTGCCGTCCAGCACAAATGACGAGAATCACTAGCACGACAATCATTGTCATATCAGCATCTTCCGAACTCATTGTTACTAGTAGAAGTTATATTAGCAGGCATATTATCTTAGTCATTTTCAGTCGTATTACATATTTGTTTCTCTGTTCCCATTCGTTTGATTGCAGTTATTCTGATCATATTTCTAGTGGCTACAACATATACGTACAGTGGGATGTTCCCTCTTATACTAACTGTCCTTAGTAGAGATGATAGTACACCCTATTGTAATCCCTATCAGGGGCTGTTAGTATAAGGGGGAGCCTCCCAACATGTACACCTTTAGTTAGGATATTCATAATCACTAGTTGTTGTTCTCGGTGCTCTCATTAAAATGTTCAGCAGATCCACGAGATGTTAGAAGCCTAAGAGAACCCTTGGAATCCCTAAACCCTAAACCCCAAACCCTAAACCCCAAACCCCAAACCCCAAACCCTAAACCCTAAACCCCAAACCCTAAACCCTAAACCCTAAACCCCCCAGAAAAGGAGCCGCATGGAGAAGGGGCTGAAGAGGATTCCGCTGCAGGGCGTGGCCGTGGAGTCCTTCGCTCTCGATGGCCTCTTCGGCTTTCGCCTGTTTCCGCTCCCCCAGGCTGAGGGTTTAGGGTTTAGGGTTTAGGGTTTAGGGTTTAGGGTTTAGGGTTTAGGGTTTAGGGTTTAGGGTTTAGGGTTTAGGGTTCGGGTTGAGGGTTTAGGGTTTAGGGTTGAGGGTTTAGGGGTTTAAGGTTTAGGGTTTAGGGGTTAGGGTTGAGGGGGTAGGGGTTAGGGTTGAGGGTTTAGGGTTGAGGGTTGAGGGTTGAGGTTTGAGGGTTGAGGGTTGATGGTTTAGTCTTGAGGGTTTAGGTTTGAGCGTTCAGGGTTGAGGGTTCAGGGTTCTGGGTTGAGGGTTCAGGGTTCTGGGTTCTGGGTTCTGGGTTCAGGGTTCAGGGTTCAGGGTTGAAGGTTGGGATTATAGAGGGAGAATCCCAACTTATAAAGAACAAGAGAAGAATCTTATATGTTCCGGGGTGGGTTCTTCAGCAATCCGTAGTTTTTGGGGGCTCTTGTTCAGGACGGCGAGCCCGTGGACCTTGCCACCAAGACTGCTGCCGAGCGGGACTTGTGGACGAAGGCGATAGGGTTTAGGGTTTAGGGCTTAGGGCTTAGGGTTTCGGGTGGGGGTTTTTGGATTGGGCTTCTAGTAGGGCGACCAGCAAGGATGGGCGTCAGAAGCCCCTGTGCGCCATCGTACTCTAAGGAAAGTTTCATGGTCCCTTAATTTAGTCGCTTACCTTCTCTAAAGTGTTCTGAAGTAGGAGCCCTTGCTTTTTATCGCATATATGGGGGTACATACGAGGTCCCAATTAAGGGCCCCGACTAAGGGACCATATAACTACCCTAAACCCCAAACCCTAAACCCTACCCCTAAACCCTAAAGCCCAAACCTAAACCCCTAAACCCTACACCTTAAACCCTGAACATTAAGAAGTTCCCCGTCTCAGGGACCATGTAACTACCCTCAGGCGCACGCTCCTGTCCCATCAAGGGGGTAAACGAGGGACCCTTATAAGGGACCTTAGGGGTTCTTTGGGGCTTACTTAGGGCTACTTAGGTATATAGGGACTTTTTTTACATGTAAAGATAGGGGTTATATATGTATATGTATATATATATATGTATATATATATGTATATCTATATCTATATCTATGTATTACAATATATATATATATCTGTATATATATATAGGGTATATAGGGGAAGATGATTCAGGGTCCCTTCTAGGGGTCCCTCCCTAAACCCTAAACCCTAAACCCTAAACCCTAAACCCTTAAGTCCCACGAAGGCCATCACCATGGCTGCCGCCCAGCGACCGCTGGATGGCCCAGTGGCGGGTACACTCAAGGCGCGGACTGCTACGTAAACCCTAAACCCTAAACCCTAAACCCTAAACCCTAAACCCTAAACCCTAAACCCTAAACCCTAAACCCTAAACCCTAAACCCTAAACCCTAACCCCTAAGCCCTAAACCCTAAACCCTAAACCCTAAACCCTAAACCCTAAACCCTAAACCCTAAACCCTAAACCCTAAACCCTAAGCCGCCCAGACCTTGCAGAGTTGGAGTTTCTGTCTTTTGTTCTTCTTCTGCGAGGTGACTTTGCTGGAGGCCGCTGTGCGCCAGGAGACGACGTGGAGGCGGCAGTCGCTCGTTCCCTGGCCTCGCAACGATGTCCATTCTACAGGTGGTAATCGCCCAAGGAGCCCCAAAACCCCTTAATTAGGGAATATACCTCAAATCATATTGTGGGCCCTAAACCCTAAACCCTAAACCCTCTAAACCCATATGATTTAAGGTATATTCCTTAAAATTAAGGGGTATGTGGCTCTCTGGGAAAGCAGGCACGCTGTTCTTTCCACGCCCTGGAAAGCCCAGGCGTGGTCTCTTAGGGGGGGTCTAGGGTTTAGGGTTTAGGGTTCAGGGTTTAGGGTTTAGGGGGTCCCAGGGTTTAAGGGGGGTTCGCAGGGAGGGTTTAGATCCTGGTCTGCTTGTTCTCGGCAGGAAGCCGAGAGGAATAATGCGCTCTTTATATATAGAGAGAGAGAGAGAGAGAGAGAGAGAGAGAGAGAGAGAGAGCGAGAGCGAGAGCGAGAGCGAGAGCGAGAGCGAGAGCGAGAGAAAGTCCAGAGTTGCCTGAGTTGCTTTCAAGAGCCCTTGTGGGGGCTGAGGCGCCCGGCCCCCCGCTCTTCTGCGTGGTGGCCTGCAGCCTGGCATGCCTTGGAGTTGAATCGACAGGGGGAAGGGGTCGGGGTGCTGCTTCAGAGCCTCCCAAATTGCCAAACCGCGCAATCCTGCTGCAAGCAACACGACAACCCCCCTCCCCCCACCCCCCCCCCCCCCCGCAAAAAAAAACACAAGAGAACAAACAAGCTGAACCCTTTGGAAGGCTTCTGCTTGCACCTTGCAGAGCCTTTAAGCTTTAATCTTCACAGTGGCTCCTCACAGTTGCTGTCGGGTGGTGACCACTACAATGGCCCGCGGGTTTACGAACATTCAAAATAGGGGACCCCTAACATAGACCCCTAACAGTAGGATTCCCTTATATTATGGACCCCAAATAAGATACTTGGAGGTTCATGGTACTTATTAACTAAATATAACGGTACGTAGAACTGTACTTATAGCCATATCAGGGCACTTAAGGGGCTTCTCAGTACAGTTATAAGTACAGTTATAATTAGTTACTAAGTACCATGAACCTCCAAGTACCCCTAGTGTCGTTGCCACATATGTGTCAGATTATGTGGGTTAAGTTGGAGATTCACGCGTCAAAGCGTACAGTTGGCTCTTGGGGGCGGAAGGGGGAAGCCCCCTCCGATCCTGAGCTGAGCCAAACCCCAAACCCCAAACCCCAAACCCCAAAACCCCAAACCCCAAACCCCAAACCCCAAACCCCAAACCCCAAACCCCAAACCCCAAACCCCTAAACCCTAAACCCTAAACCCTAAACCCTAACCCTAAACCCTAAACCCTAAACCCTAAACCCTAAACCCTAAACCCTAAGCCCTAAACCCTAAACCCTAAACCCGAAACCCTTTCCCACGTCTCAGTAGGAGCCAGGTGCCCTTTATCATGGCTTCCACGTACTTCATCCCTACTCGGAGGTTCATGGGTACTTGTAAGTAGGGTTTTAGGTGCCCCGGAAGAAGGTTTTGAAGTATAGCTGCCTTGCTTCAGAACCCTATGCATACGTACCCATGAATCCGGCAAGTAACCCCAGCAGCCGCCGCAGGTAACGGTATGGCCTCACGCACTCTGCCGCGGAGGCCGCAGCAGCTCAGCCCATCTGGGGATGGCCTCACGCTGCAGGGAGATGCTTAGGGATATCTGGAAATCATTTTTTCAGTTTTTTGGGTACTTTACTTCCTAAGAAGCAGCGGATTTGTAATGTTTGCTAGGGTTCCAAGTTCAGTCCAGGATGAGCTGGAGTTTCCCCTGGAGGACGGCCCCCAGAAATCGGCAAGTCGCGCGCGCGTGCACGCTCTTTTTTCGTATTTAGCACAACCCTAAACCCTAAACCCCAAACCCTAAACCCTTTTTGGGTCCGTACTTTAAGGGTGCCGTACTATATCTATGACCTCGGACCTGATGTAGAGAACTACCCTAAACCTAAAAGAAACTCAGAACCCCAAACCCCAAACCCCGAAAACCCCAAAACCCCAAAACCCCAAACCCCCCAACCCCAAACCCTAAACTCTAAGCTCTAAACCCTAAACCCTAAACCCTAAACCCTAAACCCTAAACCCTAAACCCTAAACCCTAAACCCTAAACCCCTAAATTTTACCATGGCTTTCGTTGACTTCATGAGCCCTGCACTGCGAGGATGACGACCCAGACTCCCTGATCCAGGCAGTGCTCCCCAAAGCCCCGTTTAGGGTTTCGGGTTTAGGGTTTAGGGTTTAGTTAGGGTTTAGGGTTTGGGGTTTAGGGTTTAGGGTTTAGGGTTTAGGGTGTAGGGTTTAGGGTTTAGTTAGGGTTTGGGGTTTGGGGTTTAGGGTTTAGGGTTTAGGGTTTAGGTTTAGGGTTTAGGGTGTAGGGTTTAGGGTTCCGGGTGTAGGGTTTGGGGTTTAGGGGTTTGTGGCACCGCGATTTAAAAAGCCCAGAACTTCCCTGAAACGTAGGGTTCGGGGTTGAGGGTTTAGGGTTCGGGGTCTAGGGTTTAGGGTTTAGGGTTTAGGGTTCAGGGTTCAGGGTTCAGGGTTTAGGGTTTAGGGTTTAGTTCTAAACCCAGCACTTCAAGAGCCCAAGACCCCCAAGACCCCGAAACCTCGAACCCCCCAAACCCCGCTTGCTTGCGCCCAAAACAAGAAACCCTACAACCTAAACCCTAAACCCTAAACCCTAAACCCTAAACCCTAAACCCTAAACCCTAAACCCTAAACCCTAAACCCTCAGGTGGAGGCCTGGAGTTCAGATGGCCGCAGCCGCGGAACCCTGCGGGGCCGGGTGGATGTGCCGCTGTACTGCGCGGGCAGGAACTGCCGCCCGGACGATGTAAGGGTTTAGGGTTTAGGGTTTAGGGTTTAGGGTTTGGGGTTTAGGGTTTAGGGTTTAGGGTTTAGGGCTTCTTTCGGGGACGGTGCTCGGAGGTTCCTGGGTAGTAGGGTTATAAGCAGGGGAACTATACGTATAACCCCTGGTTAGGTACTTGGGTTGGACCCCACTTATCACGACCCTGTGAGCTTCCAAGTTTGCCCTGAAGTCGGCCTATGATTGAAGGAGTCACCACAACCCTAAGCCCTAAACCTCAGAATGTCCCATGACCCTAAACCAGGTCGCTCGAAATCCTCTAAACGCCTCCAAACCCAGGCAGCCTAACCCTGATACTCTCAAGCTCTGCAACCCGAAGAAGCCTAGCAAACTCTCAAATCCCTGCAGGCCCTTAAGCACCCAAACCTGACAAACCATCACAACTGAATCCTAAACCCTAAACCCTAAACCCTAAACCCTAAACCCTAAACCCTAAACGCTAAACCCTAAGTCCTCGGAGGCATGAGGGAGCTGCAGCTCCCGGTGC